CCTTAGATTGGTCCGATGAGGAAATCATTGAGAACATGTCTGTTCCAATTGGATGTGGGAACATTCTGAAAGTTAGGCGTTTAAAAAGGAAAAATGTGAACAATGGTAAATCAGAATTTGTACCAATTGAAACTGTAGTTGTTACCTTTGACGGACAAGTTTTACCCAAAAGAATATTTATGTGCTTCACTTCTTTACCGGTGGAGTTGTACATATTCCCCACCATTCAATGCTTTCAGTGCTGCAGGTACGGTCATATCAAAAGTCAATGTAGGTCGACTCCTCGTTGCTTCAGGTGCGGTCAAAGTCATTCCGGGGATAACTGTTCTGTTCATGAAGATGACCTTGTGTGCGCGGCGTAGCCAGCGGGGTTCCGCAGGGTTCGGTGCTCGGTCCACCTAACCTAGGCTTCAACTGGCTCCTCCGGGGCGTCCTTCTCGCGGGCATGAGTGTCATATGCTATGCGGATGACACTCTGGTCACTGCCCGGGGGAAGACATTTGGGAACACGGCACGGCTGGCGTCGGCGGGCGGCACATTAGTCGGTCGCAGAATACGACGCCTCGGCCTGAAAGTTGCGCTGGAGAAGACTGAGGCCCTCTTCTTACCGGGGCCTCGCCAGCGCACCCCTCCCAACGCCCACATTGTGGTTAAGGACGTTAGGATTGACGGCAAAGGTCAGATGAAATATCTGGGCCTCACGCTTGACGGGAGGTAGCATTTTAGCCCACACTTCAACGGGCTAGCGCCGCGCCTCCTCAAGGCAGCTGGTGCACTGAGTTGGCCTCTCCCGAATTCGGAAAGGCCAAACGAGGTGTCGCCGACTGTATGCCGGCGTTCTGAGGAGCATGGTGCTGTATGGCGCCCCAATCTGGGCGGACGCACTCAACAAGAAGGAGAATGCTGCCCTTCTGCGCAGGCCCCAGCTAGCCATAACGCAGAAAGTCGGAAGGACCTACCGCACGCTGTGGCGTGCGTCCTCGCTGTTACTCCTCCTTGGGAGCTAGAAGCTGGGGTCTTGTCTGTCATCTGTCATCTATCACTGGATGGCTGACCAGAAGGCGCGTGGAAAGCGCCCGGCCCCGGAGCGGCGCGGCGCCGTCAGGCAGGAAGAGCGCGAGATCATGATCGACCGCTGGAAGGAAGACATGACTCGCGCGCAGTTTGGCTGCCGCACTCTGGTCCTGTTCTGGACCAATGGTTGGAACGACCGCACGGGTTCCTCACGTTCCGTCTGGCGCAGGTGCTGACCGGGCATGGCTGCTTCGGTTCGTACCTGCATAGGATCGGGCGAGAGGAATCCCCGCTGTACCACAAATGCGGCGCGGCGGATGACACGGTGCAGCACACCCTCGCGGTCTGCACAGGCTGGGAGGAGCAGCGCCGTGTCCTCACTGCGGTCGTGGGCCGGGATCGTTCGCTTCCGAGCCTGGTCAACGCCATACTGGGAAGTGAAGGATGATGGATGGTGGTAGCCTTCTTTTGCGAAGACATCATCCTTCAGAAGGAGGCAGCGGAGCGCGAGCGGGAGAATGATCCTCTCGCCTCATCGCTCCGCAGGCGGAGAAGGGGGTGGAGAAGGCGGTTGTACGACCGTTCTACTCAGCCCCCAGTTGGTCACCTCTGTCTGACGGGAACGGCTTGGGGTTTGGGGCCATTCCCGTCGGACCCACACAAGGGGGGCGTGTAGGGTCCGCCGTGTAGGCGAGATGTCGCCGGTGGTGTCGCGGAAGTCTAAGTCACCGACACTCGCGACACCCCCACTTGGGCGATGACGGAACGCCGCGGAGATTTTAGTGGGTATACCCCGTCCTTTTCAGGACGGAGCAGTGCCCTTCTCAGGGTGCCGGGAGGCCCACACACCACCCTGTCCCCTGGCAGTAGTGACGGTGCGCAAAGCATTTCCTCCGCGACAAAAAAAAGGGGGCCCGAAACGAGCTGTGCCTAGGGGCCCCGAGATGGTTAATCCGGCCCTGTATATAACGGACTAAGATTTTGTATAGCGAATTGAGTAATACTGGAATTATTATAAAATTGTTTTGAGTAGTATGTGTGTGCGGGTGTTACGAGTTGTATTTTGTAAGTTGTATGTGTAGTGTATTGTTTAGTTGAGTACGAGTGAGTGTAGAAGTGGTTAGTAAATGTGCAAGTGAAATGAGCGCCGTAAAAAGAGATAGGTACATGTAGGACCATAACTAAGCAAAGAATACATACAGAATAAGGCCCGTCTAGTCACTTATCAGAGGTAAAGTTTAGCTTCTTAATGTCGTCCTCAAAAAAAAAAAAAAAAAAAAAAAAAAACTTTAGTCATAGAAAGTAAGGTTCAATAATAGCAAATGACCTCCTCTATACGCGTATTAGCTATGGCGGGTTCAGTTTCAGTCACCCTGTAGGTACCTATGTGTTGAATTTTTTGGAATTGGAAAAAAGGACCGAGTTTGAAGCGTTCATGAGCAGACATTGTAGTTGAATATTCAAGTTCTGAATTTGATTATTGATGAATAATAAACCCTACTAGCTCGATTGATGGTTTCATTTCATTTATTTAGGTAAACCAGATTAACCTACTAACATTATACCTAAATGCGAAAGTTTGTGTGGATGTCTGGATGTTTGTTACTCTTTCACGCAAAAACTACCGAACGCATTTTGTTGAAACTTTACAGTATTATTGTTTATAACCCAGATTAACATTAGGCAATGATATTATAGAACTTTTGTTTTTAATAATATACGTAATTGACATTAGCTAGGCTATAATTTATGACGATTTGTGACAAGCTAAATTCCACGCGGGTGAAGCCGCGGGCAAAAGCTAGTCTATAATAACTATAATCTTTTTTCGTTAATTTATGAAAATATCAAATTAGCCCGTAATCCTGAATCCTGATACATAAAGTTAGCCTATTAATTTAACACCCAGGTGGGTAGGTAGTGACTGTAGGTACTCAGTGTTGCACTATGCCAGGATTTTTATGTTCCTGTAGGCCTAAGATGCGCGCCGTGATAACTTTTATCGACGTCAGGATGTATGGACAAAATCGATAAAATGGCGTGATAACCGCTTATCGCGGCGCGCATCTTAGGCCTACTGGTCGGGCTATAAATATTTATTTGGGTTTAGAATTGCCTAAATCTTAAATTCCAGGGGTTTTATTTCTCACCTTATTTTCAATGAATTTCGACTTATAGCCTGACCAGGAACATAAAAACCCTGGCATAGAGGCGCGTCAATTGAATTTGATAGTGCAACACTGAGTACAGTCGTACCAGTGTTAAATTAATAGGCCAACTTTATGTATCCGGATTCAGGATAAATTAACGAAAAAATATTATTATAGGTAACCTGGTTTAAATAAATTAAATGAAACCATCAATCTAGCTAGTAGGATTTATTTTATTATTCATCAATAATCAAATTCAGAACTTGAATATTCAACTGCAATGTCTGCTCATGAACGCTTCAAACTCGGTACTTCTTTCTCAATTCCATAAAATTCAACACTTAGAAAGTGACAAAAAAATTTAAAATAGGTAGTTGAAACAAACCACAGCTAATTTTCATAGTGGACTGTACTATAGATGACCCACGCTGAACTGTCCCACCAAACTCAATGACAGGGGGGCGCTACCATCGTTCAACTATATGGTTTCCAACATGGCAAAAATCGGAACCAGCGATCCGGTATGACGGTGGCGCCCCACTGTCAATGTCATCGATAGGACAGTTCAGTATTTTGGAACTATATACGATAAACATGTCAGTCAATTTGACAACCTTTGTCGGAAACATTATTCAATGAAAATATTGTCCGAACCCTTAGTATTTCTCTTCGACAAATACTTTAACACATTGTGAACCACTTTTCTTTCACTATAAAAAGATTTTAGCAATTTAATTCACAAAATCAACTGCGCACATTTAAAATAAAGTTTGTTTCTTAGATTAATAAAATCTAAGATTTGTTTACACTTTGACAGCAATAGACTGACATCAACTGACATGCAAGGTGACATGTCAATGAAGTTTTCAGTTACTGTTGCCATTAAAAGAAAGGACATCATCCATTTTGGTCCAAAATCAAAAGTGCCGGCCAAAAAATAAAAGTGCTGTATTCTGATAGAATACGTCCGCCTTAGCATTTATTACTATGGCACCAATGCTGTAGCACCACTGTGCATCGTGGTATTTGAGTTCTAAAAATATATGAAACGACTGACTTTGATCTCAAATACTACGACGCATAGTGGTGCTACAGCTTTGGTGTCATAGTAACAAATGCTAAGGCGGACGTATTCTGTCAGAATACAGCACTTTTTTTTTATTGGCCGACATTTTTGATTTTGAACAAAAAATGTATGAATCGTTGATGAATTTTAGATCTCAAATACTCGACGCACAGTGGTGCTACAGCTTTGGTGCCATAGTAACAAATGCTAAGGCGGACGTATTCTGTCAGAATACAGCACTTTTTTTTTATTGGCCGACACTTTTGATTTTAAACAAAAAATGTATGAATAGTCGATGACTTTTAGATCTCAAATACTCGACGCACAGTGGAGCTACGGCTTTGGTACCATAGTAACAAATGCTAAGGCAGACGTACTCTGTCAGAATACAGCACTTGTTTTTGTTGGCCGGCACTTTTGATTTTGGACCAAAAATATATGAAACGTGGATGATGTCCTTAGTACCATTAGTTTTCCGCAACATGGCGAGGGTTTTTATGTTCCTGGTCGGGCTAGGTAAATGCTTTATAGGGCTTTACGAAGTAAATGTATGGAAAAAGAAGCGGTATTACAATACTTACTTTATCGTTAAGAATATAAAGTCTATATTCGTGTGGAAGAGGGCATTGCGTTTATACGGGTGATAGTAGTGGGAAACTTGGCCAATCACAGGCGACGTAGATGGCGCTGTAGGTCCGACGCGACTTGACGCGAGCCGGCCGACGACCCTAAACCACGGGCCAAAGCTATAAATAGCTTGATCTGACATCTGTCATCACATTTGATCACATTCATTCATTTGCTTAGTGCGTCTCACGTGGGTTTTGTTATTATTTAAAAATTCGTAGTTTGTTCTAAAATAACCTTATTATAATGAGTGAAGAATTGAAACTTGAGTCCCTGGCTGTACAGCTTTTTGAAATAAATGCCGTGAAGTTTGGCGAATACAAATCTAAAAGTGGAATAACTACACCGGTTTATTTGGATTTAAGGGTTATAGTTAGTTATCCTGATGTGATGGTAAGTTGTTTTGATTAATTTAGAATTACTAGCATAGAGTTATACAGGGTGTCCCGTAATGTAACGTCAAGCCGTAACTGGGTGTTGTTGAGGCAAGTTGTGCTGGTTATCAGAAAAATATAAAAAAAAATCTATGTGGCATATTTTCAAAATAATAGACATTTAAAAAAAATCTAAAAATTCTACTCCAGGTGACGGTCCTTTTACTCGTGTTGCCACAAATCTTCACTTTTTCCAAATTTTTTTTTGTTATGTAACTCCTTAGATAATCTAAGTGTAACNTATTTTTAACCAAGGTAGATAAAGTTAAAAACGGGATTATTTCCAATAAACAAAAATTGTCGACAATTACAGCAAGATTTTACAAAGTGTTATACCATTTTGGAATCCTTACTAAATGCGCCAAATTATGACGTCACTTGCCATACTCGCGTAGTACAATTTTTTTTCAGTACAGTCAGTTTAAACTAGGCAAAATTTTTATTTTGAAATTTTTTTTAGGAATAATGTATTTTTTTCATCCAAGCTGGAGCAGCTGGTTTTGTAATTTTGATAACAGTTTAGAGAAGCATTATTCAGGGTTACATAACAAAAAAAAAATTTGGAAAAAGTGAAGATTTGTGGCAACACGAGTAAAAGGACCGTAAAGTCACCTGGAGTAGAATTTTTAGATTTTTTTTAAATGCCTATTATTTTGAAAATATGCCACATAGATTTTTTTTATATTTTTCTGATAACCAGCACAACTTGCCTCAACACCCAGTTCCGGCTTGACGTTACATTACGGGACACCCTGTATGTGTAGGAGTGATAATTACTGTATTGTTTATTTCAGCAAATAATATCTCGCCTAATAAGAGATCATGCCCTAGAAGGCAGTAAATGTGATCATTTGTGTGGTGTACCTTACACAGCTTTGCCGATAGCCACATTGCTGAGTGTAGAGGCCAAGATACCTATGCTGATGAGGCGTAAGGAGGCCAAAGCTTATGGTACAAAGAAAATGATTGAAGGTCATTACAAAGCGGGCCAGAAGTGCCTCATTATTGAAGATGTAGTGACATCAGGCTCCAGCGTGCTGGAAACTGTAAAAGACCTTCGTAGAGAAGGCTTGGTAGCCCAAGAAGCTATTATCATCCTGGACCGAGAACAAGGTGGACGGGAGAACCTTGCTGCAAATGATGTATCTGTAAAATCATTATTCACGATGACAAATTTAATTAATATATTGCTGAAGAATAAAAAGATTGACAACAATATGGCTCTTAAGGTTCTAGATTATCTTCGAAATACAAAAGCACCAACTTCAGGTACTTCATTATTTTTTCTGTTCATAATATTTATATTATTTATTGTAAAGTAATGACATTATTATCTGAACATTTTTACAGAGAAACCTGAAGACCGCACACAACTCACATTTGAGAAAAGGGCAGAATTAGCAACCAATGAAATTGCTAAGCAGCTGTTTGATGTTATGGCAACAAAGAAAACCAATCTTTGTGTGTCTGTTGACTTAACTACAACCACATGTATATTGGATTTGTTGGAAAAAGTTGGTGAACATGTGTGCTTAGTGAAGACACATGCTGATATTATTGAAGACTTCAGTACGGACTTCATAACCAGGCTTAAAAGTTTGGCAAAAAGATTCAACTTTCTTATATTGGAAGATAGAAAGTACGCAGATATTGGAAATACTGTATCTTTGCAGTATGCAAAAGGATTGCATAAAGTTTCAGAGTGGGCTGATTGTGTAACCGCACATTCTTTGCCTGGAGAGGGAATTCTTAAAGCCATCAATGGGGCAACCAACGGTGTCAGAAAAGGAGTATTTTTATTGGCAGAGATGAGTAGTGAGGTAAGTTTTCAATTGAACCATAATTATTATTCAATTTACTCCAATCAGCATATTTTGATTTGTTTCATACAATGCATTAACATTAGGCATTAGCATTAGCAATAAGATCTGTTTTTGCAATGTAATATAATTTTTAAAATGTAATGTAATTTTTTAACGGAAAAGTCAAGTAAAAACTAATAAATAAAAACAATTCTCATAACAGGGAAATCTTATCACACCAGAGTACACAGATAAAACAGTCAGTATGGCTTCAAATTTTCCAAGTTTGATTTGTGGATTTGTGTCTCAGAACAAAAACACTTTCAATCAACCAGGTAAGTTCAAAATATTTTATTTGTCAGTATTAATAAAAAAACTATTTTAAAAAATCCACTGTGTCTACATAGGTACTTTAGCACTATGAAAGCATTTTATTTCACCACTAACTCTCTCAGTGTTAATTAATATTTTTTGAACAAAATTGTGAATGAATGAAAAATGTTTCTTTGGTAGGTACCATTGCAATTAACAACAAAAATGCCTTAACCAATTTTTTTAAGCAAACAGTTATTGTATCAAGCCTCTTCTCACATTCCAGGTCTAATACAATTGACTCCAGGAGTGCAGCTGGAAAGCACCAAAGACGATCTGGGCCAGGTGTACAACACTCCAGAGAAGGTAATGCTGGAGAAAGGCGCAGACGTCGTGGTTGTGGGCCGAGGCATTCTGTCTGCAAAGAACCCCGCTGCTGAGGCACTGGTCTATAAAGAGGCTCTATGGAAGAACTACCTCAAGAGAGTGTCTGGAAAAATGGAATTATGAAAAGAGTATAACATTTTAAACTTTCGCGTTCCATTTCAACTAAAATAGTAAGACAGGGGTCTTAACGCGACGTTTATTAATGAGTTACATTATGTACTCACGGCTTGACGTTTCGGCTGCGATGTTGTGCCGTGGTCACAAGCAGATGGCCCACACAGAATACCTCGGCTCACAACCACGACGTCTGCGCCTTTCTCCAGCATTACTCTTTCACGCTAAAACTACCGAACGGATTTCGACGAAACTTTACAATATTATTGTTTATAACCCAGAATAACATATAGGCTATAATTTATAACGATATGTGACAAACCAAATTTCAATAAATAAATAAGTCGTGAGAAATATGTACAAAAAAGCGCCATTTATAAACATTGCTTTTGACGTTCGTAAATATTCACGCGGACGACGAAGCCGTGCAACGCCATCTACATCTATCAAGCGCTGTGTACCATTGCATTGGTTAAAACGGGGTCCACGCGTACGAAGTCGCGGGCGGCCGCTAGTTTAAATTAATGATATCTGTGATAAAAAACATACATATAAGATAGTACCAAGTACCTACATAATAATATTTTGTTGAATGTTTACATGGTTTTTTTTTAATCTAATTATACACGGTGTTAGGTAAATGGGTATATGAGCCGACACTAGTCCATGTTAACATGGTCATATAAATGGTATACGTATAGGTATAGGTACATACTATGTTCAAGTTTTTGCAATTTTCTTTTGATTTAAGTGTTCAACGTTCATACCTATCAATTGTTATATTTTTTACAAAAAGTATTTTTGAAGTTGTTTTTTCATATTTTATGTGGGTAGGTATTTAATAACTATTCTATTTGGATGTAAGGAAGGAGATATTCTTTAACAGAGATGTAATGTAAACGTTAATGTAATACTTTGAGACGTTTATTGTTCTATTTGTAGTACGTAAGTGTAATAAAAGATGTATTGAAAATAACTCCTTTCATTTTTTTAAGGACCATGCTTTGTGTACCTATAGTCTGATTTGTGTATGTAAGTACAGGGCCGCGATTGCGCTAAATATTTTCTCAACTACAACGCGACTAGACGAACGAAAATCACAAATTCGTATCGCGATGTCGCTTTGACAGCTAAGAGTTCAAACGAAAACAAAACGCAACTGCTTCTTTGTGTAAAAGCTAAAAGAAAGCTACTTTTTCTTGTTGTAGTTTGACACCATACCCCTATAATTTTATTCGAAACCACAACTTTTTTAAAAAAAACCTTTCTTTCTGGTCTTAAAAACTTAATTAATTTTAAATTACCTGTAAATTACGATTTTTGTTCGCATTGTAGGTAATTGATCCCATCAAAAACAATACTTGTCAAAAAAACCAAGTCTCGCAACTCAGTTGTTCTACGGTAAAAAGTTGTGAAATCCATGTAATACCAAGTCCAGGCCAGGAAATCTTTAACGTTTTACATAAATTATTGACTTGGCCCTCGCACTAAATAATTTAATTCTCACGTGTTTTCATGCGATGGCCAAGTCAATATATTATTTATGTAAAACGTTAAAGATTTCCTGGCCTGGACTTGGTATTACATGGATCTCACAACTTTTTACCGTAGAACAACTGAGTTGCGAGACTTGGTTTTTTTGACAAGTATTGTTTTGGGAGGGGTCAAGTCATACCCAGTTTCGGGCCTGGGGGGGGGGGTAAATCATACCCAACTTCTGGCCGAGGGGGAAGTCATGCCCAGCTTATGACCTGGGGAGAGGAGGGGGGCGGGGGAGTCATATCCAGCTTCTAGGCTAAGATTAAATAGATTTCCAGGAGGGAGCAGCTGTCCTTTCCTGCAGCAGCTGACCCGCCCATGGGAACGGCGAATAGTATACGTAGGTTAAACTTAGTACTACTTTAGTCGGCCGTTTGGTGTAGTGGTTCAGAACGGACTACTATAACCGAGAGGTCCCGGGTTCGATTCCCGGCCGGGCAGAAATCGAAATGATGAATTTTAATTTCTGTGACGGGTCTGGGTGTTTTCTATGTATAATATGTATGTATTTACAAAAAAAAAAGTATATAAGTATGTTAATATCCGTTGTCTAGTACCCATAGTACAAGCTTTGCTTAGTTTGGGGCTAGCGGCGCAGTGTAAAATGTCCAAGGAAATTTATTATTATTATTATTCCTTTATTCATCTTACTTTCTTATTTTTAATTTTTTCTTTTTACAATGTAATTATTATCAAAAAATAAAAATACATTATAAAAACAAAAATCTTAAAAATAGTTAACCCGCTGGCAGCGGAGCAGGGCCCAGGCTACCGGTGGTCAGAGTCACAGGCTGAGGAACCTCCGGACAATGCGTGCCGTGCTGAGGATCACCGCCTTTTGAATCTGACCCTTGAGCCAACCATCTAGCGAGAGCTTCTTTAGATGTTGGTCGAAGCTCTTCGCTATTAGCCCGTTTGCCGAGACAACTATCGGGACAATGATTATTATTATTATTAAACTCATTGTAGGTATTGCGCGTACATCGAAATGATCTTCATAGCAATGTCTTGTAGCCTAGGCAGAGTGTATCTGCCTTAGCTATACCTTATTGTTAGAAGTAAATAAATTAATACTTATACATTTTTATATTTTACTTGGAAGAAGACAATACTTAAGAACACTTCATTTGAATAAATCGCCAAATATACCACCGCGGAGAACCCAATCGCGTCTCTGCGTTCCATTGAATCGTATGAGCGTATGGATTTTTTGCGATATTTTTCACAATTTCCATTTTTAAAAATTACCTATCGATAGCTTACTTTACTCTGATGAATAAATGTCATTACAAGTTTTTCTCTAAAACTGATAGTTTGGCTAGAAAAAAATATTTTCTATCCACGCAGTACGCCGGCAGCGTTCGGATCGGATATAATGACGTCATCGTCCCCGCGCCGGGCGGTCAGTGAACTTTTTTAGTAATTTGGCCATAACTTCGTCAATTTTTGTCGTAGAACAAAAATTTTTGGACTGTGTATTAAGGATTTCTTAGCCCTATAAATCTGCATTCACAGCTAAAAATCGAAATGATCCTCATTGCTTCGAGAAAAGGATGGTACGGCCATGCTCGACTTGGTGGGGGCACTGCCGTGCCCCCAGATATAAGTAGTTTGATTGAGTTGACAAAATAGTGACGTCACTTGCTTGTAGTGCCATACAAAATCTATGGGAGAGTTTCGTTTTGACAGTTTTAAAAAGTACGTCAATTGATTGGTGGTGTTGTTACGGTCATAGTGATAAATGTGAAAATTATGAATAATCGCCGGTTATTATGTTATGAATAATTACCGCATGATTTGGTTAATGTGATTAATATGAGATCATTTTAGTGTGTATACCTAAACTATTTTTCACTTTAAATCAAAACAATGTGTTATAGGCATTATGGCAAAGTAATGTTAAGCAAAAAACATTCCAAACTCATTTTGCCAAATTATATTAATACATATTATCACAGAATACATAATAGTAGCAACAGAAATTGCACTCCTTTGTGTAGGATCAGATGCCGACATTTTAACGGTAATAATAATAATGCAAAATATCCAACGCACATGGTGCATTCGAAATCGCACCTTACTGCTACGCTCACAAGAGCGCAATTTTTTTGTGTTCAGAATTGATCTACCTCACAGCTCAAGCGTCAGGGTTGTAAAAGCAAAGTAAAATAAATGAAAACTTAATTTTAAGAAGCATTTATTGTATTTACGATTATTTTTACAAAGGTAAACTTTAATCTAGTGGTGTTTGTATAATCGTACCATCTCTAAAGTACCTATCAATAAACTTCAGTGTTGCGATAATTCGAAATTGGACAAACAGTTTTAAAAGATGTAGTGTCGGAAAATAGACACGGTGAAGTAAAGTTAATGTTTTTATTATCAAAAATATTTTTTTTGCTACAGTTTTTTGTCATAAGTATTTCAAAATTATTTAAAAAGTGTAGTTTTTTTTTTCATTATTTAAATTACCTACTACAGTTAATTATTATTCCTAAATATTACGATTTTCCATTAAAGAAGAATAACAGTGCTGTTGGAACAATAAACCTTGATTGCGACGATGATCGACCGAGCGTGTATAGAAATACGCGTGTGCTCACAGGCGCGTGGCGGCCCTGACTGATTTGCAACTTGAAGTTGTCGCGCGCTGTAGGTAATTATCTCGGCCGGCATAGGCGAGTGACGGAGGCCTGATATTATGATATCAAAACGTTCAAAATGTGAGGCTGTACATGAGCGCTGTACACGAGCCGGTGTTCTCTTTTATGGTGTTTGTTAGTATTAAGGTTAAGTACATTATGAAATAATCACTGATAAATGTGATTAATTTATCACTTTTACCAAGCCTGTCGGTAATTATTCATAATAACCGGCGATTATTCATAATTTTCAATTTATCACATTAACCGTAACAGTGTCACCTTCACGAACATTTCCTGTGTTGGTGTTCGGACTTTTATTGGAAAGTGTCGTCTTTGTTGTTTTTTTGGTCTAAGATCAAAGTGTAGTGTAGTCTTTGTTTGTTTGCGCGTGAAGTGTGAACTTTACCGCGATATCGAATTTGCACCTCAACTGGAATGAAAAATGGAGCGCAACTGGTGAAGAAGCGCCAAAATATTTTAAATAGTATAGAGACGCTTCCCTTCGAGTGACGTCATATCACCAGCAGCTATACAGGATGTTAGGTAAATGGGTATATGAGCCGACACTAGCCCATGTTAACATAGGCATATAAATGGTATGGTGAAGTCAGAAATTTGATATCATGATTTTAATTTTTTCAATTTTCATACAAAATAAATTTTATAAAATACGATTTGTATGAAAATTTTAATAATTTAAATGAAGATATCAATTTTCTGACTTTACCATACCATTTATATAATCATGTTAACATGGGCTAGTGTCGGCTCATATACCCATTTACCTAACACCCTGTATATTAGGGATGTTATGGATTGTAGTTTCGGTTATGGATACGGTTACGGATATAGGAATAATACTCGATTTCGGTTACGGCTACGGATATTTTTTTATTTTGGATATCCGAAAGTTTCGGTTACGGTTACGGATATCTGTGCTTTAGAATGCAATTTGCAATAGTTGTCCAACAAAGTTCATTCATGGCCGCACACTTTACATCGAATAAAAAGTAATAATAAAAAAAATAAAAAAATTGATACTAGATGGCATTATAAAGGTAAATCAGGCTGTTATGCCTTTACATAATGCTATACAAGAATCAATTTAAACTGCCTACATCCGAAACTATCCGAAACTTTTGAATCGGTTAAGGTTACGGTTTCGGATAGTTTTTAAATTCGGATATCCGAAAGTTTCGGTTACGGTTACGGATATCCATAACATCCCTGCTATATATACAGGGTGTTAGGTAAATGGGTATATGAGCCGACACCAGGCAGCCCATGTTAAATGGTCATATAAATGCAAATGGTATGGTGAAATCAACACCCTGTATATTACTTTTACTCTATGCTTAAAAGTAAATTGGAATATGAGTGAGTATTCTTTGTAGTAAATCGATATCGATTAAATGGGAAAAAAATATTTTCTGCTTAGTTTAAATTTTATGTGGCAGATAAGCCAAGAAAAAATAATTGACAAACGCAGACTCAAATCCATAAAACAAAGTCGTTAATTTTAACGACATAATCATAATCATAATATTACATTTACGTATACTTATCGATCGTTTTATGTTTTTTTTAATGAACAAGGCGCGTCACTAATATGTTACCACAGACAGACAGATGGATACATACATGAAGCTACAGATAAAAATGGAGGCCACACTCCAAATACCTACTTGAAACACAAACTAAGTATCACTATCTCGCTCTCTGTGGGCAGACTCGCTCTTTCTAAATAAACAAAAAATATAAAATTGCTCAAATTCAATGAAACCAATGTAAAATCTTTATTTCTTGACATAGGTATCATTAAAAATGATAAGTGTAATTACTGGTAAAACGTTTTAGGAAGAAATTACTGTAAAAAATGTGAAAAATGTTTACAATGATCCAATGTCGGAAATCACGAAATAAAAAACACTTACGCGTGGAATCTTATGTCACTTCCAGGACACCACGTACTACCGCAACCACGCACTACAAAATTTTGCACCAATTCTTGTGATAAAACAATGATTATTGCCTGTAAACAATCTCAAACGAAATTAACTGCTTAATAAACAAAATAGTAAACAACCGCCATGATGGGCCGGATTGGGCCGATGTTGCCACATGGTACCGATTACTGTTGGTGAGTAGCGACACCACGGGGCCAGTTGTTAATCCGAGTGCTCCCGAGAGTCGGTCAAGACCCTCGTCTTCGGCTTGCCGAAGTGGAATCCGAGAGGGTCTGCAGGACTTTCACCTCTGGCTTGCCTTAACCGGCCGGCCAGAGTGGAGTCGCTAGAGCTATATGCTCCAGGGGTGGAAGTGTTAAAGGGCATAACGCCGCGAGTAACTTCGGAGAAAGCGCAGCACACCTCTCTACACCCCTGAGCTGGCAGACGCCAATGTTGCCCCTCAGTCCGGTCTATACGACTCATGACGCCAGGGGGGGCCCATTTAGTCGCTGGCTAGTCACCGCCTGCCATTTTTTCAGTCAGAGACTATGAACCAGGCAGGTGTCCCGTAGTCTCCATCCATAGCCCAGTAACCAGTCCCTCCATCCTTCATCCATAACCCTAGTCCATTCTTCAATAACTGCAATAGCTCCTATGCACAGGCTGGGGATGCACAGTGTTTTTTTTTACCCGAAAAAGTGACATTCTGTTTTTATCACTAATATCCAAAGTTTAACTTATTATTAATGTTAGACTAAAACACCCAGGTGACAAATAGCTATAGATTATTTTTTTAAAAATATTTTAGAAAATTTATTTTGTACTGGGTCAAACTACAATTTTATTATTATTTAAAGAGACGTACACACTAAGCTTCTCTTTGCATTGCAGGTAGGTAGGTTGGTGTATGGCGAATATTATTGCACCTATAATTATTTAAAAGTAGTTATAGGAACGACAGTATGATTACTTTTTAAATTTAAGAAATTATTATTTTTCTCTTTTTCTACGCCGAAGTAGAATCTCTGCTTAGGTCAGATAAATTTCTTAAAATAAGCTGTATCACCTGAAATTTTTCTATATTCTAACTCGGCCGCAATTTCGAGAAAAAATATTTTTTCCAAAATGTTAGGATTGTCACAAAAAATGACCTTACGTAGTTCCACTTTCTTTAGGGTTCCGTGAATTATAACGAATTATTTGATCTTTAAAACGCAACTCTAACTTATACGGTTTTAATAATCCACCGTGTGTTACGTGTCACCAGCTTACACATACGTATCGGTTCGTAGTTCGAAAACGGTTCGAAATAAAGCTTTGAAAGAATTGAAGTCGGGTTTTTTTATTCGACTTTAATTTATGAGATATAAAACATTGATGTAGCTTAAATATTTACGAAGATACAGATGTGTAAGCTGGAGACACGGTACTCCAGCTCGCACATAGTTTTTTGATCGTGGTTTTAACAGTATTTGAGCTAAAGTCTTGAAAAGTGGAAAGCCTACTATTTGGATTCGACTGTAATTTTTGAGGTATAATACATTATCGTAGCATAAATATTTACGAAGATACAGATGTGTCAGCTGGAGACACGTGTCCTCAGCTTACACATAGAAAACAACTCATAGTTATGAAGTTCTAATGGCTCTAATTGAATGACTGAGAGGTTTGATGACTCTAATTAGGCTTTTATTGATGGTATACTTGGAATTGCTCTAGGGCCAATGAGGAAGTTGGAGACATTCAGGTCTTACTTGCTAACATCTATCTAATGTCAAAAATCATTTTATCACTAACCTCGCTTGAAAACAAAACAAAAGGTGTTGAGATGGAATTCATTGTTAAGGAATTAGGTTTTAATAGTAAAAATATATTTCCAACAGTTTCGACAGACCTTTGTGCTGTGGTTGTACATAATACTTGGTTGAAGAAGTGGTTGAAAAACTTGGAAGTTGATAATTCTGTGAACAGTGTTGATTTTATTACCCTACAACCTGGTGAAAGTGTACCCTATCCGTTCAGGAAAATATTTATTAGGGTATGTGCAGCTTCATTTACTGTGAATATGTTGTTTAAAGGTCTTTCCTAAACTGAATCAGTTTAGATCTTTGAACATTCCAATTTGTTAAAGAAATAAATAAAACTGTTAATTTTAGTATCATGTGACTATTCAATTGTCAAATTCTTTATTTGCCCACTTAATTGTGTTTATTTGTATTTTAGGTGTTGAATAAAAAAGCCTCCAAGGTCCTACCACTGCCTCGGTATAAACTGAATGATGGCACCACTGAACTACCTCTCACATTCTCACAGCTCCTGCAATATGTGTCACAGAATAACCAAAGAAATCTGTGGAAAGAGTCCTACAAAAAATACTGCCAAAATGACTCCAACAGCAAAGAGAGCACTATTGTTAATTTGTTAGAGCATGATCAGCTGTTATCTGAAGTATTATTTCGATTGTATGGATGCAATATCATTAGGATTAAACATGATAGTTCTGGCAAGCTCGTAGAATACAAAGAGATAGCACCAAATAAATATGTTTCTAAATCATATGAAACCCATGTCAATTTGTTATCAGCTTTATTCATATTAGAGACTGACAATAACTACTTTGTAATATATGGTGGGCATTATGAACATAGTTTATTAGACTGTTTGAATTTCAGCCCTCATTTGGTCGATATGAATTATGGGCGTGGATTGTTCCTCACATACCAGTTGTTGCACATGGCCAAGGCAACGGGTGACAGAGGTCTGAGCTTAGGCAATCTGACATTGCAAGATATCTATTTGACAGAAAACTTGTGGCTGCAGATCTTGCCTCTAGTTACAAACAACATTCATTGTTTGGATGCCTCTCTTATACATGAGAATAAGAGTAAGCAGACTACTCCAGTAGTGTCTAGCAATAGCCAGAGTCAAGCTAAGAAGGAGGAGTGGTGTTGGAGAAATGATGCTGTCCAGTTAGAAAAACTGTGCATGCTGTGGGTCCGGGGAAGGATATCAAACCTGGACTACTTGTTGCACCTCAACGCGTTAGCTGGGAGGAGTGCCGATGATCCCCAGGCACATTTCATGGTGCCATGGGTGACCGATTTTGCATCTAGATGTGGTAATGTTTATTATTTTCTATGCAATTAGTATCATAAAGTATGTAGATTTTCTATTTTTACCATTCTACAGCCCCCATCCTATTGTATATGTCTACACCTATGTTTTTATGCATAGAATTATAATATTTTTTTATTTACTTGAGTAGTAAACACATTCATAAACCCTCTTTATGTTTTAGATAGTTGCATTGTCTATGATTTTAGGGCGGAACTGGCGAGACCTCTCCAAGTCAAAGTACCGCTTGAACAAAGGCGATCGCCAGCTGGACATGACTTATGACGTCGGAAGTTGCTCAGAACAAATCCCGCACCACGTCTCTGACGCACTAACTGACATCACATGCTATGTCTACTTAGCTAGGAGGTAATTATCTAAGGCTCGGTGCAAATGGGCCACAGGCTAGTCCGGCCACAGGTAATTATCTAAGGCACGGCGCAAATGGGCCACCGGCCACAGCCACACCGGTGGCCAGCGACGGTGACTTAACACACTAATACCTACTTGATAAAAACTTGCTACCTATAAATATTTCTCTATTCATTCATAGAGCAATCCCACTAATATTAATAATGAGAAAGTTTGGATGTCTGGATGTTTGTTACTCTTTCACGCAAAAACTACTGAACGGATTTTGACGAAACTACAGTATTATTGTTTATAATTAAGAATAACGTATAGGCTATAATTTATGACGATCTGTGACAAATTAAATTTCACGCGGGTGAAGTTGCGGGCAAAAGCTAGTGTTTAGATATATTGTGTAGACGTCGATACAATATCGTATTATTCTATTAACAGGACCCAAAAAGAAGTGCTATGCAAATATGTAAGAAACAAGTGGGTCCCAGCAGAGTACCCTGCGTCAATCCAGCGTATGCAGGAGTGGACGCCTGACGAATGCATACCTGAATTCTACACTGATCCTACTGTGTTCAAGAGCATACATGAAGATTTGCCGGTAATATTGCTAAAGTTATGGATATTTAAAGAATTTTCATAAGGCATTTGACAATGCGAGGCTGCTTGCGTGTTTGCTTTAAGTCGACTGGTTAGCGTTCTGACTTGTGAGGTTCGCGAGTCAGCCTCGTATCGTCCTTGTATGATGCCCTAAGACTTTATACATTATGATAATCAATCATATCGATTTTTTCCATAGGATTTAGGGATACCCTCATGGGCGACGTGTGCCGAAGACTTCATCACAAAACACAGAGAAGCACTGGAGTCTACTCATGTTTCTGAAAATCTACATCATTGGATCGACATCACGTTTGGTTACAAGTCAGTGTATATTATAAGCTTATTATACAGTGTGAGTCACGATAAAGTGTACATATGAAAATAGATGAAACTAGACCTATTTTTATCGACAAAAAAGAGGTCAACAATTTTTTTTTTTTAGAAATTATTAATTTTTAATTTAATTCTTAATTTTTTGTAGAATTTTTTTTCTTCCAATTACTTATTGTAAAGAAAACGTAATAACTTAAAAAAAAACTTAAACTTAAAAAAATTTTGACCTCTTTTTTTCGATAAAAATAGGTCTTGTTTCATCTATTTTCATATGTGCACTTTATCGTGACTCACACTATATTTTGCTCATAATTTTCTTTTATTGGTAGTTTCAGATATATTTTAATGCCTTTTTATTCTTAGGCTGTCTGGTGCAGCATCTATCAAGGCAAAGAATGTATGTCTAGTTTCAGGTATATTTTAATGCCTTTTTAATCTTAGGCTGTCTGGTGCAGCATCTATCAAGGCAAAGAATGTATGTCTATCGCTGGTGGACGGCCACACGGTGCCTCGCAAGGGAGCCATGGCACAGTTGCTGGCGGCACCGCACCCGCCGCGAACGCCGCGCCCGCTGCCGCCGCAGCCGCCGCGGCTTCACTGGACTGCGCCTAGAGACTCCAGTGTGTACTGTCTTTATCTTCATCTGAAAATCAACTTAACCTTTGTTGTTACATTACATAATTATAGTGATGCAACGAATACGAATATTAAATCTACTATTCGGCGAATACGAATATCTCTACATAGTCATGAAATACTCATAAATTTAACTCTTTTTATTATGGTTAATGTTTTACCCCCTTACTAATAAAACTTACACGCTCGTTGAACAGTGTTTTAAAGTGACGTTTAGTATGGAAATGTCATTTTAAAACAGTGTTCAACAACTGTGTAACTTTTTATTAGTAAGGGGGTTAGTAATTATAATTTACAAACAGCATTTTTTTTTGTTATTGTATCACTTTACTTTGTAACTAATGACAAAACAAAATAATACTTGTACAATCGACCTGCTATTGACTGTCATATTCCAGAAGAGAACTTACTATTTTATTACATACTGACCGGGGTTTTCCCGTCATGTCGTTGTGGCTATAGTGTTCGAAGACACACACGTGTGTGACAAAATATTAAAAAAATAGGTATTCGTATTCGTAATTATTATTTCACCGAATACGAATATTCGGTAAATGTCTACTATTCGGCGAATACGAGTATTCGTATTTGTTGCATCACTAATTACATATTTTAAACGTACGAATTGCTCTGCAGGAAAATCCATCAAACCGGAGAGTTCTGAAGAAATATCCGACGAAGAGGAAGAATCTACCAGCCTCCCCCAACACGTGTCTCGACTCAGCGTTCCTCCCCAAAGAGTGCGCTCTCGGCATAAGAGCGGCAGCCGCGCCCGATCCCTCTCCAAAACCCAAAGGCACGAAGACTCGCAGGCGTCCACCGAAGCCCGGGCCTCCTCGCACTCCAGGCATTACAGGGTCCAACGCTCCGAACTCGGCAAAGGAGTCATCTATCTCCCGAAAGAATTCAACCCGGTGGCCTCCATACAAGCTCTCGAAGCGCTGGACAATTTCAGGACCAAATGCTTCTTCAGCAAAGCGGAGGACAAAGAAAAGTCCAAAGAAACTGTTACTGCCCTCAACCATTTCCCTATGCAGCAAGAAGTCAGGAAAACGCCAAACGTCAGTGTATCGAGCATTGATGGGTCTGACGATACAGCGTTTACCAACCACATGTTCTTGGCCTCGTACGACCAAAATTACCTAAAGAAGTTTAGCCAAGATGCTCATTTAGAAAATGTTTTAAAGGAAAGGAAAAACAGATCGTTTAATCCAAGATACACGACCGATGCTGCGATATACAAGCAGTTTGTGACGGAGAGTCGAAGGCAGGACATGTTGGTAATAGGGTGCCTTATTGTAGAAATCTTCCTTCATCAGTACATACGTCCATTGAGAAGTACTAGTAATAATTTCATGGAAAGATATAATAGCTGTCGGACAGTCTTGAAGTATAACTTCAGCACGCTGCCGAAATGTGTTACTTACGTAGCATCTTTATTACTGAACGTTCAGCCTCCAAGTTTGAGTTTTAAAAACGAGCTTGTGCCAAAAGAGGAACCGTTGAAAAAGATCGTCGTCACTGACAAAGGGCTCCCACCACCGACTGCATCTCAGTTGCTTCAACCGTTACTAATGCAACATCTGATACCATTCCCACAAAGTTTCAACACCCTGTACAAACTCCTCAGTACCCTACATGAATACGAGTTGACAAGTAACGAACTAAACATCTTATACATGTACGAATGCGATGGAATACAATGTGAAAAGTACCAAAATGTCGACAAAACCAAATTGTATTTCAGCCAAAGAATAGCAGAAGGCAAAATACAAGCGTGCGCGTCGCATTTGGACGTTCTCTTGTGCCAAATAAACTCGTACAGCCAATTTGACGTGCTAGACATCTTTCTGACTCATTACATAGAGCTCTTGAAGAATAGAGATACATCAGTGTTAGCTGCTTGGTATTTGTTCGATACAGTAAGCAAAGCATTGGGGCCAGAAGCCACGAAGAAAAAGCTTTTGAAGCACATCCTGAATCTGTACGAAGATGACGATCTCATGATGGAGAAATCAGAGCACAAACTAACAGACATCGATTCTGGTTCAAGTTCTACCGGATCGTCTGGTAAACAGAAATTCGTCAAATTGTACCACAACATCTTTTTACTGCAACTGATGGTGAGACTTGGCCTTCAATGTTTTCTAGATAATTTCACTCAGCATTTAGTGGAAGCGGTAGGTGGATATAAAGACGATAGCACGGAAGCCGTATCTCCGGGTCACATTTGCCACAATCGATTGACAATCAATAAGAAACCTAGGTACTCCGATGATAACGTCAAAAATGCCTTGTCCACAACTACTGATATATTCTCACCTGACACGTCGTATGGTTCGGAGCACGTAGCGACGCCGAGTGTAGAAAAGAGTGTAGTTGAAGTTAGCGAAGTGTTGAAAGAGAAGGACAGCGATACAAGAAGTGAAAATGAGCTGTTTCATTTTGAAACTGATAAGGAGAGACTGCCGAGTCGTAACAGCAGAAGTAAATCGCCTGCCGAATCGATTGACTCGTGCAATTCGAATCCTGCGCATGAATCGACGGTACACACTCCTTCGCCTTCGACTGAATACTCTTCGCCGGCATCCAAGCAGTATTTTACAAGCTCAGCGAATTCAAAAGATGTCAGTGTGGTAATCACCGAAAATGAGGAGATTCAAGATACTCCAAAAAAAGCTCCGATGTCACCTACCATAGATATTCCATCCAAACCGATGTTTACAAGTTATTTGCATTTCGCGGAAGAAGATTCTAGAACTGACGATTTGGAAGTGCGGAAGGATTCTCACGCGCGTCAAGTCAAAAGTTTGGAATTCAATAGGAACTTGGAAGTGTTTCCTGCGAGCACTTCGCGTAGTTTTAATGACGTGGAGTGCAGCGAGGCGTATAAAGACTCGACTCCTTGCAAGATATCGGATATGAGTTCGGAGAGCCTCATCTGGCTGGCTCACAGGCTCGGTCCGGTGTTGACCTGTAGGTATATTACGAGGAATTTGCTCAAGATGTTGACTTTGTGTTATATCGGGAAAGATAACCTCACTCTGTGCGAGGGAGACGAGAGGGATGAGTTTGACGAGATATCTGTGATAAACAGCCGGGTGGTTGGCGATAGAAACGCGATGAAAGTTATTAAGTGCCTCACTGCCATTGTAGGTAAGGATATATCTTTGGATTTTTTTACTGTCCGAATTCCACACCAGTTAGAAACTCCTATGCCAGTCAAAGTTTTTTTGTACTATGCTTTCTAGATAACTATTTTAGATACCTATTGGTATACTAAGCGTTGATGACTTACAGTAAAGCCCGGTCTGTGAGCACGTAGAATTTTGTCCAATGACCCCAAGCTACCCATCCTTATCACTCGCGCGTAATTATATTGCTGTTGCGACTGTGCGACGGGCGGCCGCAGTGAGTGTGTGAGCGCGACAGCAACATAATTACGCGCGAGCGATAAGGATGGGTAGCTTGGGGTCATTGGACAAAATTCTACGTGCTCGCAGACCAGACTATAGCTATAGATACCTACTCTTATTTAGTACACTGGTATTTGCCCCCAACAAACGGTATTATAATACCTGTCACCACGATTCTCAATCATGTCCATCCATATTCTTTCAGCAATGTACGGGGAACAGCTTATAATATTCCAATACCTGCCGCACATGGGTGAGCTGATAGCGTCTTGTCGCCGCCGGCTGTCGGCGCCTCTGGAAGGCGGCGTGGTGGCGTGCCTGCAGCTCGTCAAGTACCTGCTGCCTTACATGTCCGACGTCAAGGTCATGGAGCAGTTGCTGGTAAGTTGTACCACAGAATAATAATAAGTACTACGTATAGAAGTTTTACTTCGCGAAAGTATTTAAAAAATGTATGCTCAATGTCATTAACAATATGGTGTAATTTAGCCTGTCTCAAGAGTCAAGCACCATTTTGTTGACAAACGTCAGCGATCGGCACTGCGCCGAAGCTATAGGGCTGACTTCGGTAAAATGATGTGACGTGAGGTGCCAAACTGCGGAAAATGGCGGAGTAAATACATGATTTAGCATGAATTATCATGAATAATATTAACTACTTATTTACCTCTCAGTGTCTTGAGGCAACTTAAAAAAGTACATCTGTGTTTTTATTATTATTTAGGCAGTTAAATACTGCACAGTATTTAGTACACCATTTTCTTTATTTTCTTCCATCATACACAAGAATACGCTTGCGTGAGTCAATGTTCGCTCGTATGTGAGGCCTTGTCGAATAGTATCCTGTAGGTGGGTCATCGTGCGTGTTTTGTTAAACTCGCGGAGATGAATAGGCCTGGTTGTACTGGGTAGGAAAGAACCGCCGCTGTGGTCTAGTGGTACGACCACCTGCTTCAGACGCAGAGGTCCCGGGTTCGATTCCCAGTGGGGGCAGATTTTTCTGTTCGGTTTGGTTGGTGGTAGGGCTTGTTCTAAGTCCGCCTGGCTAGCTACCACCATCTTACCTAAGTCTGTCGCCATAACAACATTGTTAGAAGCATTGTTGTGTTTAGTCAGTTGGAGATATGATAGCCAGTTCCTCCGTGGTTGAGGATTCCGGGTGAAGCTCGCTTCCACCTTCAGCCTGATCATCATTTACCATCAGGTGAGATACAGGCCAAGAGCTTCCTCGTTGTGGATAAACAAAAAAGAACCTTGAGGGTAATGGAACAGCTCATAATATTTAAATACCTGTCGCACATGGGAGAACTTATTGCCTATTGCCTCTCGTTGCTGTTGGCTGCCGGCGCCGGCGCTTTACATGTCAGTCGTCACGTCCAAGGTCGTGGAGCAGTTGCTGATAAGTAGGTATACTGGGCAAGAAAGAGTGTTGAAGGTTGAAGAAGTGGGGAGCCAATTTTTATGACGGATGGTGTTTAGACAGGAGAAGATTATTTGCTGCAAAGAACTAAAGTCAAATATTCTATGGGGCTGACAGTGTGCATAGGGAAACTGGACTTTCTCAATCGATCGATGTGTGACCAAGTACAAAATCGTGATAATCCTATTATTTTTGAATAATTTCGTAATGGTTTTGGATTTTAATTCATATTTATGTTCGGCTATCGTTTGCAGCCACGATAGCCGAACGGTGAAGGGGTCAGACTGGCCGACTCGTAATCTGGGGAACGCGGGTTCGGTCCCCGACGCCGCTCGACTATTGCGGTGAGCTCACTCGTGATACAAGCATATTTAGCTTAGTACTAGGCTAACGGGACTATTAATAATTTATGTAATAACAAATCTATACTTATAATAAATCTGTAGAGAGGTCAATTCTGTACATGAAATATATTTTCAAAATAACTATCAGGGGGTGATTAGTGATCGATACTGATGCCAAAAATGCAATCAGTAAAATTTTTGTCTGTGTGTCTGTCTGTCTGTCTGTATGTTCCTTATAGAAACAAAAACTACTTGACGGATTTTAACGAAACTTGGTACAATTATTCTTCATACTCCTGGGCAGGTTATAGTATACTTAGGAATTCCACGGGAATGGGAATTAGCGGGAAAATTCTTTTGTATGAAAAATCTACACCGCTTAAGTTAGACGCTTGAAATTTGGTATGTAGGTACCTTAGTAAACTTAAAGCTTAGTTACAACAAGGAATTCCCGAAATTCCCACGGAAACGGGAAGTAGCGGGAAATCCTTTTGTATGAAAAATCCAAACCGCTCAAGTTAGACGCTTGAAATTTGGCATGCAGGTACCTTAGTAAACTTAAAGCTTAGTTACAACAGGATATTGCAAAATTCCCACGGGAACGGGAGTTAGCGGGAAAAAACATTTGTATGAAAAAATCTAAATTGCGTAAGATAGATGAAGGGGGTAAAACGGCATCCACGCGTACGAAGTCGCGGGCGGCCGCTAGTTACTAAGAAATTATTTTAAGAAATTGGACGAGGCCTATGTTCAACAGTGGACGTCATGATGATGATGATTAAAAAAAAATGTTGTTGTAGTTCACAATCCTTTCGTGTTTTGGCTCGCAGAAGACTGTGACCCACTCGAGCAAAGTCACGACATAAGTGCTCATCGACCGATACGTTTCCAGGACACATTCCTGAAGTCCATCCTGCAGCCAGCGCTGCGCCTGGCGTCCACCAGCCGGTCGTCGTACCCGAGCGGCGCGGCGGCGCGCGGCGCGCTGGCCCGCAAGCTGCTGGGCGCGCTGCACGCGCTCGCGCTGCGCGTCGGGCAACGCAGACCCGTTCTCGAAACAAGCGGGCAGCTCGCGCGGCGCTTTAGCGGCGAAGTGTTGTGTTCGGGGTTGTGTTGTCGAGATATCTGTTTTTATTCGCAAACGAAATGTCTGAACAACGGCGACAATTTTATTTCGATTCAAATTTATTCCTAACGCTCGATTTATTGTGGGCAAAAGAAGGAGTGCGCTGCCCGCTCGTTGCCCGCTCCCGCGCCGCTGTTTTCGAGAACCGGTCTATTTGATTTTACGCATAAGATCCTGCCGCTCCCGCGCCGCCGCCGCTCCCGCCCCGCTGCCCGCTAAACTCGAGGCTGAGGCCTTACGCCGCTACTTTACAGAAGTACTCACCGACCGATACGTTTCCAGGACACATTCCTGAAGTCCATCCTGCAGCCAGCGCTGCGTCTGGCGTCCACCAGCCGGTCTTCTTACCCCAGTGGCGCGGCGGCGCGCGGCGCGCTGGCCCGCAAGCTGCTGGGCGCGCTGCACGCGCTCGCGCTGCGCGTCGGGCCCGAGATGACGCGCCGCCATCTGTGCGTGCACGCCGTGCAGCGGTGAGTGAAACTAAATTACAATGGAAATCAAAAATGAATTTGTTAATCCTGTCCTCTTAAAACCTGTACACGCTACTGCCGTGTTCTTCGCTGATAAAATTAAAAACTTGTTCGTGACATACCTCTCCTCGCCATCCGCGCTGAGCAATAAAAGTGTGTAACGCGTTGCTGGGCTATATTTCACCGGGACACCATAGCGGCGCAACCAGTCGCCGGCTACCAACAAAATGTATACAGCTCTATAGAGAGTTACTCACCTAGTGTCCTTTTGGTTGCGCAAAACTGTATACATTTTGTTGGTAGCCATGGTGTCCCGGTGAAATATAGCCCTAAACGTTCATTGGTCGTCGACGTTGAAAAGGCCCAGACGGTGTCAATCATCATGACAGGTTTAATTTCAAAAAGACAAACAGTGAGATTATTGCCTTGTTTGCTAATCAAGACTGTTTTAATTACAGGTTTTTCTTGGCATTTGACAAAGCGACGGGGAAAACAGAAAACTGGCCCAAACAAGACGAAGTCAATGCTGATAAGGTGAGCAGATATTACTCTAATCCGTGTATGTAAACTTTAAGAAGCGCTGCAGTCTGTGGAGTTAACGTTGCGGCATTTTTTGCAGTCGCAGTCGATGCGTTCTTTTTCTTGGTAGCCAACGGAATCCTCCGTTGAAGGATCACCTCTGTCAGCGGAGGGTCAGCGCTCGAAATTGTAGTTGCGTTACCAATACTTATTATTTCTCCGTAACCACCACAGAAGACAGCGAAGAGCCGATTGAAGAGCTTCCTAGAGCAGGTCGCACTCTATTCGCGTTGCAAAATGGTTTTAACTATCCCTTTTCCCCGCAGCAACTGGAGGATTCAGCGGAGGGTCGGTCGAAGGGCTTCCTGAAGCTGGTAGCGCTCAAGCCACATCACAATCGCGTTGCCAATGCTTATACATTATAAGCACTCAGTTGAAGGCTTCTTAGAACTGGTAGCGCTCGAGTCGCACTTTATTTTTTTTTGTCAATGTCTTTAACTATCCTTTTTCTCGCAACCACTGGAGGAATCATAGAGGGGTCTGTCTTAGGGCTCCCCAGATCTTGTCGCGCTCGAGTCTCATTTTATTTTGGTTGCCAATGGCTATCCATTATTTTCCTGCAACCACCGGAGGAATCATAGAGGGGTCTGTCTTAGGGAAGAAACTGCGTTAAGCGGGAACCCGCGCGGTTTCATACAAAATGCTCCGTCGCGGGCACCCGCGCGGAGGACTTTCGTATGAAACCGCGTGGGCGTCCGCATACCGCAGTTTCGGGCCTTAGGGCTCCCTAGATCTTGTCGCGCTCGAGTCTCATTTTATTTTGGTTGCCAATATCTTTACCCATTATTTTCCCGCAGCCACCGGAGGATTCCGCCGAGGCTCGGTCGGAGGGTTTCTTAGAGCTGTGCCGCGACGGGTCGACGGTCGAGTGGACGGTGCGCGAGGGCCGCGTGCAGCGCGCCGACCTGCCCGACCTGGCCTGCACGCCGCCGGCGCCCTGCGACCGGATCCCCGACCCCGCTGTGCTTACGGTGAGATTCTACTAATATTATAAAGGCGAAAGTTTGGATGTCTGGATGTCATGATGTCTGAATGTTTGTTACTCTTTCACGCAAAAACTACTGAACGGATTTTGTTGAAACATTACAGTATTATTGTTTATAACCCAGATTAACATATCCCAACTAATATTATAAATGCGAAAGTAACTCTGTCTGTCTGTCTGTCTGTCTGTCTGTTACGCTTTCCCGCTTAAACCTCGCAACCGATTTTGATGAAATTTGGCATAGAGATAGTTTGAGTCCCGGGAAAGAACATAGGATAGTTTTTATCCCGGTTTTTGAAACAGGGACGCGCGCGATAAAGTTTTTCTGTGACAGACAAAATTCCACGCGGGCGAAGCCGCGGGCGGAAAGCTAGTAGGCTATAATTTATGACGGTATGTGACAAATAAATTTCAATAAATAAATAAGACGTGTCTAAAAAGCGCCATCTATCGTCATTAGTTAAAATCACATTACAGCGCTGGACAAACTACTGTTTTTGACGTTCGTAAATATTCATGCCGGGGAAGCCGTGAAACGCCATCTATCAACGTAATATCTAACGGGGGTAAAACGAGGTCCACGCGTACGAAGTCGCGGGCGGCCGCTAGTAATGAGTAAATTTAGTCGTTCACCATTCGTTCATTCATCATTTCATCATTCATTCCTTTACCATTTATTCATTCAATCTTTGAGAATTCGTTCGTTTCAGCCAAATGGCGTCCACTGCTGGACAAAGGCCTCCCCCAAGGATTTCCACAACGACTGGTCCTACGCCGCCCGCATCCAGGCACCTCCCAAATACTCCTGTTAGCCCCTCGTACTAAGCTAAATATGCTTGTGTCACGAGTGAGCTCACCACAATAGTCGAGCGGCGGCGGGGATCGAACCCGCGTTCTTTCATAATTCATTCATTCATCCCTTTTTAAGACCATTAATTTTGACCCACCTCTGATGAGAAGGACTATCAACTATTCTCTCGCTTAAGAAAATGTGATGTAATGTTCAGACCGGGGTCTAAGATGATTTTTCTGAATACCTTATCTGGCTCATAATAATACCAGAATCAAAATAGTATTGTGCACCAGATATGAATACAATAAATAAACAAATAAATGTCGCTATACCAGACGTGTCCAGGCTCACTGGAGACGTTGTAAATTGGTGAGAGATTTCATTAGAGATCAATTGGGGCAGACGGAAGAGGGCCTCTATCAAAAATTGGCAGTTACAATACAGCCATGTTTCAGTTGCCTGTAAATACATACTGCTAAAAGATCCAAGAAGTTTTTATCATAATACCTTTTCACAGGCCCAAGAAGAACTGCTCATGGTGTTTGACGACGAGCTGGCGTACAAAGCCTACACGACCTTCAGCAAGTTTGTGGGAACAGACGCTATGGAGCGCTGCCTCAAGAACAGCGACACTATACGAGCGCTTTGTCGCAAATATGAGCAGAACCACTACATCAGGTAAAATCATAGTTATAGTACAGTTAGCTGATGTTGCTGGCAGTTTGGCCAGCAATCCTTTTCTGATATTGTTTATGGTTTTTTTTACTTTTTTTTTAGATTGATTGATTTTGAAGTTGCTTTTACTGGCTCTCGTGTTCTAGTGTTAATGTCTTGAGCAATATACCTTTTTGGCCCTATTTTGGAGTGTTTCCTTGCTTCTAGCATAATATCACCACCGGCAGGCCTATCTCTACATACAGTCCACTCCATCGTTTTTAACATTGGGACATTGCCAGTCATATTTATTGTGACTTAAGCTGCTAAATTTTGTCAGTAAGTTTCAAGGTCAACTATCAGTTACAGTGATTGAAAAACAGCGTGAAAATGAGGGCTTTCGCGTATGAAAAATCCACTAGATGGCAAGACGTAGATATGAGGTCTAACTACTACGTGATTGGTGAATTTTGACATATCTGTCAATGTCATGTCAAAAATAACCAATCATGCAGCATTTAGACCTCACGTCTACGTATTGCCATCTAGCAGATTTTTCATACGCGAAAACCCTCATTGAGAGAGATTGCAGTTCGGTACTAATTACTAAGTCCAAAATACGCGGTCTCTTATTAGTTTGAAACTGCTGTAATTCGATGTGATTGAAGGTCACATAGATCTGCAAATTCTAGTCACGCTACACCTGCGCATCTATAAATTCTTAACTCCAGTAATGCTGTAGGATTGTAGGTACTATAAATAAATAGCAAAACATAATAAATATTATGACCTCACAACTATCTCAATCTTCCGCAGTTCACCGCTCATATCCCGCCCGGAGAAACGCGTGCAAACCTCATTCAGTGACGAGCCTATCAGCCGGAAGAGCATAGACATTACTCCCACGAAACCTGACCTGGTCATGGACCACATGTCAAGCTCCAACAGCTTCGGTTCCAACGTAACTCTAGTTGGGAACCGAATAGATGTCGCTACGGAAGCGAGCGCGGGCGCAGCGGGCGTGGGACACGGTTTTGATGTCGTGGCGTGCAAGATGGACAATGGGATCAAGAGCAACAGGTAAGCAAAGACAACAACATTTCAATTATTTAGTCCGTCCAGACATGATAATTAGAAAATATTAGATGCGTATTTTTTATTTTTTTCATAATTAAATAATAACAGTTCTACATCGAGTTGAAATGGCGCGTTACGTCACGCCTATGTAGATTTTTTACTTAGAAGTGACGTCACGCGACATTGCAACTCAATATAATACTGTAATTATTCGATTATGAAAAAAAATGAAAAATACGTGTCCAATATTTTTTTATTATCTGTCTGACGGATAAATAAAATTCGATTTCATTACTCAGTCATCATCCCAATTGTAAAACATAAAAGTACAATTTCTATTATCCCAAACTGAATTGTTTATAGAGACAGACGCTGCGCAGGCGCTGGCAAACCGGCGACGTTCGAAAGACGTTAGTCAAATTGGCATATCTAGGGTTTTTTTCGTTTTCGGAGATTGCTTTCCCTTTCCTCATTACTTACTTCAACTGCTTGACGTTGTGCGTGCGCTGCGTTGACGAAAGACGTCGCAACGCACCGTGTGACATGTTTTTGTATAATGACCGCTATAACCTCTGCTATAAAGATCAAAATCATTTCCAGACACCTCCGCGGCGACTGGCTCATCTACTGGGAGCACGAGATCGGGCGGCCCGATAAAGACACGCGCTTCAACCTCAAGCAGATCAAGCTGCAGACGTTCGCGGGCCACGCGGCCGCCGTCAAGTCGCTACACGCGCTCGACAACGAGCATAGCTTCATGAGCGGCTCGAAGGACAAGTGCGTGCGTCTGTGGTCGCTGCGAAACCAGGTCTGTGACCATTCGTTCAAATCAAATCAAAAATGTTTATTTGTGAAACATAGGTACAACACTCCAAGGACAAGTGCGTGCGTCTGTGGTCGCTGCGAAACCAGGTCTGTGATCTTTCGTTCAAATTAAATCAAAAATGTTTATTTGTGAAACATAGGTAACAATCCAAGGACAAGTGCGTGCGTCTGTGGTCGCTGCGCAACCAGGTGATCATTCGTTCAAATCAAATCAACAATGTTTATTTGTGAAACATAGGTACAACACTCCAATGACAAGTGCGTGCGTCTGTGGTCGCTGCGCAACAAGGTTTGTGCTTATTTGTTCAAATCAAATCAAAAATGTTTATTTGTGAAACATAGGTACAACACTCTAAGGACAAGTGCGTGCGCCTGTGGTCGCTGCGAAACCAGGTCTGTGATCATTCGTTCAAATCAAATCAAAAATGTTTATTTGTGAAACATAGGTACAACACTCCAAGGACAAGTGCGTGCGTCTGTGGTCGCTGCGCAACCAGGTTTGTGCTCATTTGTTGAAATCAAATCAAAAATGTTTATTTCGGCCGTTGTCGGCCGTTTGGTGTAGTGGTTCGAAACGGACTACTATTCCGGAGGTTGCGGGTTCGATTCCCGCACAGTACAAATATTTGTGTGCATGAACATATTTGTTTGTATTGGACTGGGTGTTTTCTATGTATAATATGTATGTATTTACAAAAAAAAAAGTATTTAAGTATGTTTATATCCGTTGTCTAGTACCCATAGTACAAGCTTTGCTTAGTTTGGGACTAGAAGCTCAGTGTAAAATGTCCAAGGATGTCCAAGGATATTTGTGAAACATAGGTTACAACTCCAAGGACAAGTGCGTGCGTTTGTGGTCGCTGCGCAACCAGGTCGGTGCTTACGATTTTTTCTATTTGGTGGCAAAGATAGTAACCACGATTCTGCCAATGCCACGTGTGACGTCCAAGTGTTTCGTCAGAATGAACATTAGCACGTAGGTCCGTGAGCACGTAGAATTTTGTCCAATGACCCCAAGCTACCCCATCCTTATCCTTATTATATTGCTGTCGCGACTGTGCCACGGGCGCCCCGCAGTGAGTGTGCAAGCGCGACAGTAACATAATTACGCGCGAGCGATAAGGATGGGTAGCTTGGGGTCATTGGACAAAATACTACGTACTCACGGACCAGGCTTTAGATAAACTCTTCGACCTGGATCGAATCACCGCATCGGTCGAATCGAGTGCAATACGTTAGCTTATAGCCCTTTAGTCAATTGACAAACTGCAAAAATTCTCCTCACAGAATTTGCTTAACAATATGACATTACTTTTACGCTACTCTACTCTGTACTCTCAGTTAAAGCTATTGAAAATCATATCTTACAGTTGGACAGACAACTAATTTGATTGTCAATTGGACTGACTTTTTTCTTTTAGAGAATGTTCCTTACATCGTTGCTATTGAAAAAAAAACAAATAAACAAAAGCGCTTACCTGTAAAACCATGCATAGATTTTCAACCTCCTTAAACATAATATCTTATTCCCCAGGGCGACGGCAACGCAACTACACAATGCAACTGGACGTACACGGGCCACAAAAAAGGCGTGCTGTCGCTAGCCTTCCTGGACTCGCTGCGGCTGGCCGTCTCTACTGATTCTGTGGTGCACATATGGGATCCCTTTATGGAGAGTGTGGTGTCTCAGGTCAGTTATGAAAATAATGTCTTAGAAATAGGATGCGTGTCAAGATACAGTATTATCGTCGATTTTAAACGACAAATGTATCGTCTTAAATGGATAAAAAAAAGCCTTGGTAAAATTTTATCGGGATGAGCATTCTAACCCCCGCAATCACTAGTTATAGTTAAGGTTGCGTGAAGCCACAACGTGCAAATGTCTTATCGCTCCCACAGTGGCGTGATATCCACAGACTCCGTGTTGCTCATAATTATATGGGACTCTTTTTTGGTTCAATACAAGAATTCCCATTTGGTTCAATACGTTTGCGGGAGCTGAAGAATACAATTAATCACTCACTTTGTCATTTGGTATGGCATATGACCAGCGCTCCCGTAGTTTTGGTGGCTGATATGAAGAGTAACGTAGTTTTTCAATAGAGCTTGTATTTGAAAATAATTTTTCAAGTGATTTGATTTGTTATACATATTAGTCAATGTTTGTCAGTGTACAATTTTGTTCCACAGTTGGACAACATAAAGTGTCCCGTGAGCATAGTGCGGACGCTGGGCGACGCTTCCGCGACGGTGCTGGCTGCTACTACAGACGCCACTCTCAAGTTCATCGACGCCCGGGCCTGCAACTACACGCATGACTTGAAGGTAATTTAGTCAGGATGATAGTCTTTATCTTTCTTAAGAGATAGGCGGCACTGATGTTCTATTTCTTTACTTCTATTTTTAGGAACCTAAAGTGAGTAGTATCGCTAATAATAATTAAATCAGACACAACACTTGCAAAAGTCATTAATATATTACTGCTGGGAGTCGCTCCGACAAACGATTTTATTGCTCTACAAATGCTAGATAGTAAGCTATTCAGCTATTCGTATCATAGCTTAGCACGAGCGGTTAACGGAACTAATTAGTAATTTGTGAAATAAAATTAGAATTTAAAATGAGGTTAGTTTATTAATGTTTATTCAATGATATTGTATAAAAACAAAAGCAGATATGTTATAAGTGTTCGCGCTGTGAATACTCAAATACGTCCCAATTGGGACGTCTTGTGTTTATAGTCTTCGTGTGGCCTGCGTCGTGCGCAATCGCGTGCGTACCACACCGTAAGTTCCTGTGTTCTTACCAAAATAAATAAAAAATGCCATCGTGTGTGTTTCGAAAGTGTACCAATTATGACTCTAAAGTAAACAAAATACAAAGGATCTCTTACCACATGTGATTATGTAAAATTATTTAGTATTTATATTTTCAATTATTTATGCAAACAATCAAGACGCCATGCGCCATGTTCAAGTTAAGAAAGAGAAAGCGATCTTGTTTTGACGTTAGAGCGATAAGGATGCGTGCGCTGCGGACATAGATTAGTTAGTGCAGAATCGTTAAAAACTATAGCTATCTCTTTCATTTGCGTGCTATTTCGTATCTTTTGTTTCACTTATCAGTTACATTTGTCAATGTGTGCAAATTTGGAATAGCTCGGAACGGATTAAAATCGTAATTTCTATGAACGTAACATATCTTATAGTTCTATAATATCATTGTGTTTATTTATATTTCCCTACAGCTGCCAATGAGCACGACCACGCTAGTCCGCTGCCTGTGCGTGTGCGCAGCAGGCGGCTGGGCGGCGTGCGGGCTGGCCAGCGGACACGTGGCCGTGCTGGACCTGCGCGCCGGCCACGCGCGGGCGCACTGGCGCGCGCACGACGGGGAGGTCAGTGCCACATTCTTAACGCTATCGCACAACGCGAAACTCAAGTAAACAAATTATGTGTAGTGAGTGAGGTAGTTACGCTAAAGTACTGACACATAATAATATGCTTCTGTTATTACAATTAGAACTTTAAAGCTGAGTTGCACCACCTAACATTAACCATAGCTATGACGTTAATCGGTGTTTTTTTTGTATGGAGTTTGATATACTTTTGATGTTTGTTAAAGTTAGATGATAGCCTAATTGGTAAATTGGAAAAAACATATTGTCTAGTGCTGTGACTTCGCCTGCGTGAACGCAATCTGTCACAAAACGACATAACCTATGTTACTCAGGAATAATGTAGGCTATCAATCAATAAAAACGCATTACCTTATATTTCTTCGCAGCGACTAGACCCAACCTCGGCCATGCGTCGTCCGTTTAAGTACTTCCAGAGATCCAACTAACAAAGTTACGAACTTTCCCTCTTTATACCCAGGTGCTTCGCCTCGCCGTGGTGGACGAGCACAGACTTCTGAGCTCGGGGCTGGACCAGGTCACGGCGCTGTGGCGCCCCGACGACGGAGAGCTCATCGCGCATCTCAAGTACGTACAGCCACAGAATAATCTACTACCAGGCCTGTTCATCTCCGCGAGTTTACATCGAAAACAAAACACGCACGATGGCCACCTACAGGATACTATTCGACAAGCCCTCACATACGAGCGAACATTGACTCACGCACGCGTATTCTTGTGTATGATGGAAGATAATAAAGAAAATGGTGTACTAAATACTGTGCAGTATTTATCTGCCTACATATTAATAAAAACACAGAATTTACTTTTTTAAGTTGCCTCAAGACACAGAGGTAAATAAGTAGTTAATATTATTCATGATAATTCATGCTAAATCATGTATTTCCTCCGCCATTTTCCGCAGTTTGGCACCTCACGTCACATCATTTTACCGAAGTCAGCCCTATAGCTTCGGCGCAGTGCCGATCACTGACGTTTGTCAACAAAATGGTGCTTGACTCTTGAGACAGGCTAAATTACACCATATTTTTAATGACATTGAGCATACATTTTTTTAAATACCTTCGCGAAGTAAAACTTCTGTACGTAGTACTTATTATTATTCTGTGGTACTACGTACAGAAGGTTTACATCGCGAAGGTATTTAAAAAAATGTATGCGGAGGAAACACATGATTAAGCATGAATTATCATGAATAATATTAACCACTTATTTACCTCTCAGTGTCTTCAGGCAACTTAAAAAAGTACATTCTGTGTTTTTATTATTATTTAGGCAGTTAAATACTGCACAGTATTTATAGTACACCATTTTCTTTATTTTTTTCCATCATACACAAGAATACGCGTGTATGTGAGGCCTTGGCGAATAGTAATCGTGTAGGGTGCCATCGTGCTTGTTTTGTTTATGATGTAAACTCGCGGAGATGAACAGGCCTGGTACAGCTAGCTAACTGCCAGCCTTGTGATTCCGATAGGGTAGAATAGTAACCATTCTTCATGTCGTATGTCGCGACTGAAGGACAAATACGAATATCAATCTTCAACCCGTCTGGCCAGCGTGATAATTGACTAAATCCATATTTGCCTCTGGTGAATCCCACCAAAAACATTCTGTAAAAAACTAGCCAAGTCTCGATGGAGCTGCTTATTTTTCTCTAAAAAGTAATGAAATCTAGACAAAGTCGTGCCAAGTTTATGGTTCCTTAATGCGTTTTCTTTATTATTAGTTAATGTTGTGTGACTTGGCTTTATCCAGAGGTTCTCAAATAGGGGCCTAAAAATGCGGCGAAATGGTTCCAGTAAAGGATGGTACGGCAGTGTTTGCTTCGCGCTCGACTTGGCGACTTAGTCTGATTGTTATCCTGCAATAGAGACTAAATGATCTGATGATTATGGTGATGTAGTTGTGATAGATTTTAGTTGAACATTTCCATCTGAAATCCAATATCAGCATATTTTTTCACTGACCAATTGTTTTTCCCGCAGAGGCAGCACAGAACCCGTCCATTGCCTGTCAGTGTACTACAATGAGCTGATTTCAGGCACCACCAACAACCGTATAGGCGTCCACACCTCCCTTGACCAGGAGGCTTCGTTCTCCAGCACCAAGCTAAGGTCAGACACCTTCAAGGGAGTGCTCACTTGCATGGCAGTGCTGCCGCTAAACAGGCTCTTACTACTCGGAAGCGATAACGGCACTATCAGCTTACTTTGTTGAAGGATAAGGATGAGATTCGATTAACACATTCGGAACGATAAGGATCAACCGCAACGCGTATTTAATTTATTTTGACAGAAGTGAAGGTAAGTTGTTTTTTATTATTATTCAAGTTATTTAGTGTGAGTTACTCAGTAAGATTTAAATATATTTAGTTTTGTATATTGTAGTGCATGTAAAAATAAGACGGCTATTAAGCATATTTTAAGTTTATATTACCTTTTTTATTGTTACCAAAGTTATATTAATGTAAAATTATTTGAATACTCGAATCATTATGTATTGACGAATATTTTTTTTGTTGAAAACTTGTAATTCCTAATCTTCTGTAGGCGATCTCAATTTGTATGTTATTAATTTTATTGTATCATAAGATCAGATTTTATTTTAAGGCATAATATTTTACGAAATACTTAATTTTACTTGTAAAAATGTAATTCCAAACTTAGATTATAGTAAAATTGTACAATAATCGTAATGTATAATCTTTTTATGTTAACTTCATAAGTATTAAACAGAAATGCCTTTAATACAGTATCTAATACATAATATAAAATATATAAACGATTATTCACTAAATAATGACAGCGAACATTCCATATTATTTTCTTTTTAAAGTATTTTACGTTTTATAAATTAATATTTGTATACCATGTTTATACGAACGAATACCATAGTAATTATACAAGAATATAATATAATTAGAAATAGAAGGCTTTATGTTAATAATCACATTATAGTTAAAGTACAAAACTAATGTTACCACTAAGAAAATACTATCAATTAAAGATATTAATAATCATTAATTTAAAAAAAAGTCACAATCTTCAATATTTTACTACAGTTTAATACCAAAAGAATGTTTAAAAAAGACAATAACACATTGTGTTTTACCTTACCTTGTCTCTTACATTCAAGCACCAAATCGGTCAACTATAGACCTTATAGTATCAGAATATCTTGCCTTGCCCACTGGTTTCGATAAAAAAATGTCGGTTACATGAATTTATTTATTGATCTCAAGTTTCAAAAAACTGCTGCATAATATAATCTAGTTACATTATTATTGAAAAGCAATGCAAAATCAAAAACATATTTACTAGGGAGTTATGAAACAATCTTGCCTTTAAAGTACGCAGTGAAAACAATTAGAAAGTATTGGATTTAATATTATAAAGTGTTTAGTTGAAGAGTATTTATAGTGTTTCATAAGTCACGTGTTTTTAGATATTTAATTTTAGTGGATTGCAAGTTTGGGAATAATTAAAAGTGACGGTATTTAAATTCGAAGTATTGAAATATGTTTTAATTAAAAAGACCTATAGTTTTTTCGCAGTATATTGACTCATCTATACTTATAATAAATCTGTAGAGAGGTCAATTCTGTACATGAAATATATTTTCAAAATAACTATCAGGGGGTGATTAGTGATCGATACTGATGCCAAAAATGCAATCAGTAAAATTTTTGTCTGTCTGTCTGTCCGTCTGTATGTTCCTTATAGAAACAAAAACTACTCGACGGATTTTAACAAAATTTGGTACAATTATTCTTCGTACTCCTGGGCAGGTTATAGGATACTTAGAAATTCTCACGGGAACGGGAATTAGTGGGAAAATCCTTTTGTATGAAAAATCTAAACCGCTTAAGTTAGACGCTTGAAATTTGGCATGCAGGTATCTTAGTAAACTTAAAGCTTAATTACAACAGGATATTGCAAAATTCCCACGGGATCGGGAGTTAGCGGGAAAAAAACATTTGTATGAAAAAATCTAAACTGCTTAAGTTAGACGCTTGAAATTTGGCATGCAGGTATCTTAGTAAACTTAAAGCTTAGTTACAATAGGATATTGCAAAATTCCCACGGGAATGGGAATTAGCGGGAAAAAACATTTTTATGAAAAAATCTAAACCGCGTAAGATAGATGAAGGGGGTAAAACGGGATCCACGCGTACGAAGTCGCGGGCGGCCGCTAGTTAATACTAAATTAACTACTTCCCCTTTTCGTCTTAAATTTTAATTTAGTTTAGTTATTACATTTTTTTATAAAAAAAGTTGGATGTTTGTTTTGAAATGCAGATATACTTATTATTTTACAAATTAAAACAAACTTGCAGTCCAGTACAATATCCCAGTACAGGGGGGCAATTTCCGTATCGGGGCTATGCATGAAAACAATAATTTACTATTTATTTCACCGCAATATTGTAGAGTTATATGATAAATGTAATAATAATGGTGCAGTCCTGTTGTCCCCCCAACTTGGCCCCCCTAGGGGAGCCAAAAGGATTTCGAAATCCTGTTGTCCACCCTGGCTAGGGGAGACAACAGGACTAGATTTTTAATCAATGATTTGAGGACTGTTGTCCCCCCTGGCAAAAAATATTTAAAAGCCATAAAATTTTATAACATTTAAGAAGGACTGGAGTACCTGAATGAATGGCAAATTGCCAAACTGAAAACCTAAACGTATGTCAAATAATATTAACATTTGGATAACGAAAAAAATATAAGTTCTTGGTACCGGTACTATTTCAGACTATTTCAAAATCTGCTTTACTTGCTTTTGACAAAATCGTTATGAATTATCCCTACTAAATAATATTATAAATGCGAAAGTAACTTTATCTTTTTTTATAAATAAATATAAACGTATAGCGGACAAAGCCGTAGGCAAAAGCTGAGTACCTCTATTATGCTATTCTCATGTATAAAAAATATTATCTAGGTACTGTAAAGTTTATCAAGTGTAAGTAAAAATCCGTTTAGTAGTTATTACGTGAAAGAGTATCAAACATCCATACTCACAAAGTTCCGCATTTACTTACAACATTAGTAGGTAGGATGCTAAAACTGAATAATTTTAAATCTATACTTAATATTATAAAGCTGAAGAGTTTGTTTGTTTACTTGAACGCGCTAATCTCAGGAACTATCGGTACGATTTGAAAAATTCTTTCAGTGTTAGATAGCCCATTTATTGAGGAAGGCTATAGGCTATATACTATCACGCTACGAGTAAGTAATAGGTGCAGAGCAAAAATGAAAAATGTTGCGAAAACGGGTTTTCATGCATACGAAGTCGCGGGCACAGCTAGTTAATCATAATATTCAACAAATTACTTGCTCAGTGACAGTAATTCAACTAGCAGCCGCCCGCGATTTCGTCATATTATTTTCAATCCTTTAATAAATAAATTCCGTTCTTAGTGGATGTCTATTGTCTACACCCTATATTTAAGGAAACCTACCTGCCAAATTTCAAGTTTGTAAGTGTTAGTTAATACCGGCCGGCACCAATACCTATCAAAATTGTAATTATTACCTTGACAAACGTTTAGGTATTAAGTTTGGCAATTTGGCATTCAGTCAAATACATACCTACTTCAGTTTTTCATAAATTAAGCTATAAAAAATTATGGCTTTTAAATAATTTTTGCCAGGGGGGACAACAGTCCTCAAATCATTGATTAAAAATCTAGTCCTGTTGTCTCCCCTAGGGGGGCCAAGTTGGGGGGACAACAGGACTGCACCATAATAATGTATAAAAATAATTTAGTGGAAAGTATTTTTTGTAATAAAAGAATTTTATATAAATCAAATGGTCGTTTAATTCCTATTTTATTAAACCTTTCCCTAGTATTTACTTAAAAAACTCTTTATCTACAGGTTGTAGAGTTAGGCGGTGTGAATTTTATGTTATCTCGAATTAGATTGAATGAACTAATAATGTATGGTTTAAAGAAAACTGATAGCGTAATCTTACACTATTGGTATTCGTATTGAGTTGAACTTGAACTAGGTACCTACTACCTAAACTTTTTTTTATCCTTTCTCTCTTAAAATTTTTCGTCAAGCATCCTGTATTTCCTCTGAAGAGTTTTCTATAACCTCCACGTTCGTACCTCCATCGTTTTAGCATAATCAAACGGATGTCATCATAAAATTCTGTCAGGAATTTGATTTGACGTTTTTCTGTGCGAAAACTTACAATTTGATTCCTGAAACATTACGAAATATGTTTATATTTGTGTGGATGAAGATACTGTGCTGAAAGAATGCCTCACACAACTCACCGCCGTTCAAGCACCTCTCTGGTGGGCGGGCGGCGCCCCAGCGTCCTTGCCCACGGACCTGATATCGCTTCAGAGCTCAACCTCCTCAAGGAGGAAACCCACACGGGAGACCACTTCTTAACCCCCGCGCAACTCGAAGTCGTTTACCGAACTAACATCCAAACTGGACTCACAGAAAGCTTCGCCGAGGAACAACTCAAGACCCACGGCCCCAACGCCCTCAAGGAACTAAGAGGCAACAGCTACTTCAAGATCTTCCGCCACAACCTGTTCGGCTGGTTCCCCTGCGTGCTGTGGGTCGCCGCCATCGTTAACTTCGTCGCTTACTTCTGCGTGTCCGACGACGACGCTGGCCACTCCAAGAAGGAGTACCTTTACTTAGGCAGTGTCATCACGTCGATCGTCATCGGCACCGGATTGTTCGGTTTCTACCACGAGGCCAAGAACATAGCTGTCATGAGCGGCTTTGAGAAATTGGTGCCACCGAACGCTGTCGTCATCAGAGAAGGAGTTAAGAAAGTGATCCCCAACGTTGACGTGGTTATAGGTGACATAGTGGAAATGAACGGCGGTGAGGTAGTCCCGGCGGACGTTCGGATTGTATCATGTTCAAACTTCAAAACAGACATGTCGTCATTGACGGGTGAATCGGAGCCCATAAAACATCGCTCGGAATGGACCCACGCCAATCCCCTGGAATCCAAGAACATGGCGTATTTCAGCTGTCCAATAACTGAAGGCACGGCCAAAGGTGTTGTGGTAGCGATTGGTGAATTGACTCAAATTGGTAAAATAGCAGGGCTAGTTACAGGGTTGGAAAAGAAAGAAACGCCGATTGCAAAAGAAATAACACACTTTATTATAATCATCTGTGGAGTAGCCTTCACTTTTGGAATTATATTCTTCATAATGGTATTTGTGATACAGAGAAAGTGGCTATCAGCACTGCAGTACATGCTGGGGATCATTCTTGCTAATGTACCTGAAGGTTTGATTGTTACTTTAACCGTTTGCATGACTCTAACAGCTAAACAACTCAGAAAAAAGAACTGTTTAGCGAAGACCTTACAAGCCGTAGAGACGTTGGGTTCCACCTCGTGTATATGCTCGGATAAGACGGGAACACTTACTGAAAATCAAATGAATGTGTCCCACCTGTTTTGTAACTTTCAGATATTCGACAAAACAGACCATACTCACGTTTCGGACTCTACCTATGCCCATTTATGTTTAGCCGCATCTCTAAATTTGAAAGCTGTTTTTACTCATGACACAATGAACTTGCCGGTTGAAAAAAGGAAGATTATGGGCGATGCGTCTGAATCTGCGATATTGCGTTATATGGAGTTAAACCGATCTGCGAGTAAAACACGGGAAGATAATCCAAAGATAGCAGAAATACCTTTTAGCTCGGCTTATAAGTATCAAGTTACAATCCACAACATGCAAACTACGCACAGCCACTACTTGATAATGAAAGGGGCTCCTGAAATTGTCCTAGAATATTGCACCAGGGTGCACACCGATGAAGGCGAGCAATCTCTAACGCCTCAGTTGAAGAAGGAATTAAAAGCTAATTTTATCAAGTTGGCTAATATGGGTGAACGAGTTATTGGGTATTGCGATTACCATTTACCCCTTTCTGCGTATCCAATAGGCTACCAATTCGATACACAGCAGAGAAATTTCCCAGTGGAAGATTTGACATTTTTAGGCGCAATATCTATGATTGATCCGCCGAGGTATAATATTGAAAAATCAATAGCTCTCTGCAGACAAGCTGGAATAAAAGTGATAATGGTGACAGGTGACCATCCCGTGACAGCGCTGGCTATATCCCGCCAGTGTGGGACAATCACTCAGCCTACTGCGTATGATTATGCCTTCGAGCATCACATCGATCTGAGCGATGTCCCGCCGCATATTAAAAATCAGTTCAGGTCTGCAGTTATTACCGGAGATGAGCTCCGTAAAATGAGTGTCACTGATCTGAAAACTGCGCAGCAAAAATATGACGAAATAACTTTTGCACGGACCAGTCCCCAGCAGAAGTTGTTTATTGTTGAGACGTATCAGTCTTTAAATCACGTGGTCGCGGTCACCGGCGACGGGGTGAACGATTCGCCTGCGCTTAAGAAAGCAGATATCGGCATCGCGATGGGAATCACCGGGACAGAGGTTTCAAAGCAGGCTGCTGACATGATTCTCTTGGATGATAACTTTTCTTCCATTGTACTGGGCGTTGAAGAAGGCAGGAAAATTTTCGATAATTTAAAAAAGACTATCGCTTACACATTGACCTCCAATACGCCTGAAATGTTACCTTTTATTCTTTATGCGTGTCTTGGCATGCCTTTACCGTTATCATTGATGTTGATCTTGATTGTGAATGTTGGAACTGACTTGCTGCCCGCTATGAGCCTAGCGTACGAAGATTCGGAAGAGGATATTATGTCGATTCCACCTCGTAAACAAAGCGATCATCTCGTAACTAGAGTTATGATATACATGGCTTATTTCCAGATCGGTTTGATCCAATTTTTTGCTGGTATGTACGCGTACTTTGTGGTGTTCGCTCAAGACGGATTCTTTCCGTCATCCTTAATGTTCGTTCGTGCTGAATGGGAGAAGGCGACCATGTCTGTCAAAGATACCTTGGGTAGAGAATGGTATTACCCTGACAGAAAGAAAATAGAAAGAAAAGCGCAGACGGCTTATTTCGTCGCTATTTGTTGGACGCAGATATCAGATGTAATAATTTGCAAGACTAGACGAGTTTCGCTGTTGAAGAAAGGGATGAAGAACCATGTTCTTAATTTGGGCATTGCGGTGGCTCTGATTGTGGCGTTGTTGGTGACGTATCTGCCATTTTGCAACGAGATATTCAGCACGGAGCCCCTGGCATGGCATGACTTCTTCCTAGCGTTACCTTTCATGCTACTCATGATTTTGGGAGATGAATTCAGGAGATATTTAATACGAAACAATTATTCCAAATGGGTCGAAGAGGAAACTTATTACTGAAAATAACAGTTATTTTGAAAGTGGATTAGGTTGGATTAAGGCGAATTTTAGTTAGGGCTTACATTTAAGTTTTATTTCTCTGTGATGAATAGATTTCATTTTATGTTTCTACACGTGTTAAAATGGAATAAATATTTAAGGCAATTTACTGTAGCAGTTTAAATTGGTTTGCGAATACTAACATTGAATAAGCCGGATAGATCGGAAAGTTAGTTTACTTTGACACAGATATCTAGGTTTTCGTCTGTGTAAGTGTATCATGTGTGAGCTAAAATAATTCTTACAGCATGCCGCTTATCTCAAATTGCAATACCTAACGTGTCCTTGCAACATATGCGAATACGCCCGGCCTTAGGCCTGTCGCACTTTCTGCAGCAAACTAAATATGTATAGACTATCGAGTAGGTAGGTAGGTAAATATTAAGTAAAATTTTTAAAAGAAATTTAGTAAAAAAACATTTTTAACCCATTAACGCCCGCCGTACTATAAATTGTACACAACTTTAAGTTACGATAAATCTGATTTAGTGGGTATTTTAAGTCTGGAAATAATTCCAATCGGTAAACAAAGGTCTATGCATTACATCCTGAGATGAAACAGAACATAATTATAAAATCTGAAGGGGGTATTTTGCGATTTCGTTTCAGTGATTTTTTCGTATCTCCTGGTGGATAGTTGACAATTTTTTATACAAGGTTTAAGTTACACAAAATACCGAATAAGTTGTTAGTGTATTAGCTAACAACATATCCTAATAAAAAATACATAAAAAAGTTCATTTCATGGAAAGTTTTTTATGCTATAACTCCCAAAGTGATGCTGTACTAACTTTTGTACAATGGGCGCTTGACATGTTACGTAAAATAGTAAAAAAATGACATTATTATTAGAGTGTTTACTTATTTCTTCATAGTTCTTATATGTAATCATTGTTTTCTTTTTCCAATAACATGGCTCTTTATTTATGGGGTTACAGACAACAAAAATAAACATTTTGTTTTCCCAATTATGACCTGTTTGTCGACCTAAAGAGACTTAGTTACATAGTTTTTGGAACCATACGTGACAACAGAACCAAACGGTATCCTTTGATTACTTATAAAGATTTTCACAAAAAGCCTAGAGACAGATTCGACAAGGCAAACATAATTTTATTAGTATCGATTGAAAGATAATAATGTAGGTACTATTGGAACAAATTTTGATGCTTTAGAACCATTGGGAAAGGTCATTATATGGGGTCTCTTGATAAAAAAAAGTAGTGTTAGGCACCACTGGGTGTCCAGCTCCAGTATAATAAAAAGATTAGTGGGTTAGATCAGATGGATAGTCTATGGAACTTTACCAAACTGAGGTAAAAAGAAAAAAGCGGTGGATGGGTCTTGTTCGCTTATATGGTGGACATGACAATTTCAAATGCATGCAGACTGCACTGCATAGTAAACTCATATAGTCGCTTAGATCAGCTAGCATTCCGCAAATATTATAGTAGCGCACATATTTGACCTATAAAAGATAAATAATAGTAGGTAATCTTGCTCTAGTTGATGGAGAAGAAATATGAAATAATGGTTATAGTCAAAATAAACCAGCAAAAAAGCTGATTTGACAGCTTAAAATTACTGTGTGTTTCAATAGAGTCAAAACATCTTATGGCAAGTGCCTGAAAACACTGAGCCAGTATGGAGAAGGCTTTGCTCAACATGACTCATAAGCGCCCATTGTACTAAACTTAGTACACCCCTGAAAACCTAACTTCTGATTTTGTTTTTGGTTTTCTTTCTGTTTAGTATTATTTCTGAAGTATTTTTATAAAGAAAATAAACATTGGCTATGTGAAATCGATCGTAGTTTTCATTTGGGCGTTAATGGGTTAAATTAGATATATTCATGTAGAGAAAAAGCCAATCGTCATCGCAACCGAGAGCTCTTTTGTGGATATCTTCCATTAAACTTACTATAGATTTTTACAATTTTCCTTAAAATGTGATCGAACACTGCACATTGAACATTGGTACATCTATCTAATCTCATTTGTTTGAGGTTTCCATCGGTTTCCAACTTGGACCTCTTCCTATTGTAATTTGAAATAATACTTATGTGAAAAAAATATTGAGAAAATCTCATAAATAGGAAGCGCGCATCACAAGTTTGTATACTTGACATAATATGTAATGTATGCAGTAATGATATTTAATATCTTGCTTAACTATTTAATTTTGAACCTAATGCGAGGGACCCTTGACGATTTGAGGGCAATGAGCGAAGGGTCTGCGTCTAGCGCTAATGCACAGCTACTAGAATTATGTGTCTGGCACACACGGGTGGGCGCGGCCGATATGAATTTTAAACCCGCTCGCACACAAGCCTGGGTACCGGAATAACAGCCATGTATGTGACCTACATTGCGCCAAAATACGACTTAGTAGAACTAAGATACCTATTGAGATATGGAGACGCGGTTAGGATTCGAGCGGGGAAACAGATAAACCTTGGAACTTGCTAAAGTAACTTGAAATTCAGAAGATAAAGCTTTAAAGCTCTAGCTATTAAGTATCAAGATGTCTATCGTCTCAACAAGTTGGGAGCTCATTTGTTGAATAATTACATTTGTTACATGAATTGTGTAGCTCGTAGTTCCAAATTTATTCAGCTGATTGTTATTGTTTATGAGATAATCAAACGGGCTTATTTAAGAACTAAGTCAAGGGTGTCTTCAGTAGGTATATGCATCTTGGAAATAAACAAAATACGTAAATCTCAAAATAAATCGACACAGATTCTGAAAATATTAGAAGAACCGCTTACTTCTCGCCACAGCTTTTCCGCGGTGCGTGTACCGGCGCGCGCGCACAAAGCGCAGCTGTCGCGACCTGTCCCTTAAGCCAATTAACTTGTATCGGTTGGCAATTGATACCCTTTACGACGAACATTCGTCCATTTATTACAATGGACGTAGGGCGCGGTTCGATTAAGACAATTATAGCCTGACCAGGAACATAAAAACCCTCGCCATGTTGCGGAAAACTAATGGTACTAATTTCTTTTAATGGCAACAGTAACTGAAAACTTCATTGACATGTCACCTTGCATGTCAGTCTATTGTTGTCAAAGTGTAAACAAACTTTATTTTAAATGTGTGCAATTGATTTTGTGAATTAAATTGCTAAAATATTTTTATAGTCGTGAAAGAAAAGTGGTTCACGATGTGTTAATGTATTTGTCGAAGAGAAATACTAAGGGTTCGGACAATATTTTCATTGAATAATGTTTCCGACAAAGGTTGTCAAATTGACTGACATGTTTATCGTATGGTACAGTCCACTATGAAAATTTGCTGTAGTCTGTTTCAACTACCTATTTTAAAGTTTTTTGTCACTTTCTAAGTTTTGAATTTTATGGAATTGGGAAAGAAGTACCGAGTTTGAAGCGTTCATGAGCAGACATTGCAGTTGAATATTCATGTTCTGAATTTGATTATTGATGAATAATACAATAAATCCTACTAGCTCGATTGATGGTTTCATTTAATTTATTTAAACCAGGTTATCTTTAATAATATTTTTCGTTAATTTATGAAAATATCAAATTAGCCCGTAATCCTGAATCCTGATACATAAATTTAGCCTATTAATTTAACACATGTAGCTACGACTGTACTCAGTGTTGCACTATCAAATGCAATTGAAGCGCCTCTGTGCCAGGGTTTTTATGTTCCTGGTCAGGCTATACTTACACATAATAGGTCTTATGCTTAAGTTTGGATTATATACTTTTCTTTCTCCTACTGCCATGTAATATTTTCAATAGATTAAATAATAATAAAAATTCATTTTCAACCGGCTGCAATGAATGGATTGCATTCAGACGTTAATACTGTCATTAATTTCACAATAAAATTAATTAATGAAGGACTTACTAAATAAGGAATAAGGATTCATAATATTCATCTAGTTTTGGGCTTTACTTACATAGGTAGGTAGTCAGTTACATACAAGTTAGGAAAAGAAAACAATTTAAGGTGGGGTCGTATACGCCCTTAATTTGATGCAAACTTACCTATTAAGGTTTAAGTAACATTTGGTGAATATGGTTCATTAATGATAAGAAATAAGTGATATGGAAGTTGTACAGTCAGCAGTTAAAAAGGTAGTAAAGTAATTCAATTCCAATTTTATGTTAATTCGTTATAACGCTCATAAATGCATTAATTATTCCATTAGACTGGGCGGATACTATGCGTAAACAGAGTCAATTTTGTCCAAGTCGACTTTACAATAATTTAAGGCGTATTTTTGAGGAGTTAAATGTAATACACATAATTACAGTGTACATGTAAGCTGCATATTTCCAATGTCGACTGTGCGTCCATACTACTTTGTCCCATGCGCGGTATTTTTTGCCGCGTTTAAGCGTTTATATCCGCTGCGCGGGCGCTGGTGTTTGCCACTTGCCGCTATCAATCACTCGCTGACCTGATTTCAGACTATTTCTATGTCATGTATCAGACAAAAATGCATCGAACCTACAGAAAATATCATGAATTCGTAATGTAATTAAACGTTTAATCCTGTTCTGACTGTAATTAAAGAAGATATTTTTTACAAGATATTTTTCAACGTCAAATGTTTATGGATTTCGTCTCAAAATACACAGTATAATAAATTAGAAAAGTACGTTTTATATCACGTTACATTGGTTTAATTAACGCTTCATACAAGACGGCAGGCTTTTAATTCAACTTAGGCTGATACAAAAAAAAATGTACGAAAAATCATAGTACCTACCTAGGTACGAACTTATTAATTTATCTGGAGTATAATTAAGATAGGTACCGCTTTCTGACTTCTGGGGGCAGAAAAGCAGATATGAAAAGACCTTAATTTAGTAATTTATTACCTGCATAATGAATTCCAAACCCATATATTGGACTGTAAATATTAAATACATACGTTTACATACGAAGTAGTTGAGACATATAACCAGTTGAAGTATTTGCATATTATGTCAAGATTTTAAGATAGTTAGAGTTACTAACAACTTTTCAAGAAAACTTTATGGTAATGAAGCCAGGCGTGAAAACAGAGTTGGGCGCTATCGCAATTTACTATGAAATTCTAGGTGTTATTAATCTGATGTAGGTGACGAGTTATATGTACAATCTCTGTAGACTTTAAACTATAGTGATTAATTAAACCTTTGAAATAAATGATTAAACCGTTTTCTTGTGAATGTAACTACTAGTCTTGTAGAGATTAAATTTTAAATGAGTCATCCTACTTTGCTACTTAGTTATGATTTATAATTTAGACATTTAGTTACCTATTTTTATTGTGTTATAATAATGACGAATTTTTTTTAGGTGTCAGTTGTTTGGAAACTTATCGATCTTCTATATCTGAAATTCTATCAGTTTCACAATGATCATCTATTGATCAAACAGCTTTTAGTGCTGTTTGGTTAAAAATACTACATGAATGCATTTTATAAACCTATTAACTTCTTATTTAGTACAAAGATACATTAAAAACATCTGCCTAAAGTTATGGACTGGTAGCTGCTGTATTTGGGACCTAACACAGATGAAGATGCGATTATATCGATGAGAGAACACGAGTTGATGTTGTAACTGTACCTCTAGTAGGAAAAACTTTCGAGTTCGTTTCGTTGCGTATTCAAAGTGTTATCGAAAAATTTTGTATGAAAAATTAAACAGCGCCCCCTATATTATAGCCGCCCTAGGGGGCGCTGTTTAATTTTTCATACAAAATTTTTCGATAACACTTTGAATACGCAACGAAACGAACTCGAAAGTTTTTCCTACTAGAGGTACAGTTACAACATCAACTCGTGTTCTCTCATCGATANGTACCTCTAGTACGAAAAACTTTCGAGTTCGTTTCGTTGCGTATTCAAAGTGTCATCGAAAAATTTTGTATGAAAAATTAAACAGCGCCCCCTATATTATAGCCGCTCTAGGGGGCGCTGTTTAATTTTTCATACAAAATTTTTCGATGACACTTTGAATACGCAACGAAACGAACTCGAAAGTTTTTCGTACTAGAGGTACTGATATCCAGTAGCTACTAAGTGAAACGCTTTTATAAATAAGTTAAAATTAGTAAATTACATATAAATGATACGATCGCATATTACGAAAAATCATTTCGGGAAAAAATATTTGCCTGACATGACTGATTTTCAGCAGCATAGATAAGCACGTGCTTATTTCAGAAATATTAATTATAAATGTCTCTTTGTAATTTCAAGATGCGTCAATGTAACCGACATAAAGTGATTTTCGTATCTATAACATTAGTAATATTTTTAAGATGTTTCATCATAACCATCATTTACATTTTTCATTTGAAGATAGAATGCAGGTAAGTATAATATAGAGTTTAAAGATTATGATAATCCTATAATCATTACAGTATAATGGAACAAAATACATGACTTTTGTCGTTTTTTAAAGGTCTTATGACTCTAAATTCTGTTTAAGTTCTAACTCTGACCACATGAGTATTATAACAATATAGTTATAGAAATAGAAGCAATAATTAACATAACTAGTATGTACCGCTTACCTTGAAGCCATTAATCAAAACTACCCTTAAAGCACATTAGCCTGTAACGCAGGGACACACGTGCCAGTATCCTTGGTTGCGAAATGTGTATCAAGTAATGCGCTCCCTCGCGCGCCGCCATATAAGCTGCGCGTACGCTCAAACCGGCACACGTGCTTTGTAACACACGACGAGCGCACGCCAGCCATGCTCGCTAAGGTACGATTTTCATTTTCAATATTTTACGAAAATGTTTTCATAAATTGTAGCCACTGTTTTAATAAAAATTTCTTAAGCGTAAATAATATTTATAGATATTTATTTATTTAAATCTTTCAATTAACTTGAAGTCAAATAATTAATGCTGAATGTATTTAATACATTATTTATTTTACAATTTATTTGAAACGAGGAACTCAAAATTAATTGATTTATTTATTAGGGAAACTTTCCCTAACGCGTTGATGTCTTTTGTACTAGTTGTGCCTTTTGTACGCATCTGTTCGCAAAAAAATTTCTTATTCATCATAATTTTGGCTTTAAATTATTGGTTATTATTAGAACTAGTTAAATTATTATTTTTATAATATGATTTTAATAAATATTAGTTTGCATCTTGAATTTTTTTAGATTGAAAAATATTCAAAATTGAAAAGTTACATTCAATCACATAAAGCCCGGTCTGTGAGCACGTAGAATTTTGTCCAATGACCTAGCTACCCATCCTTATCGCTCGCGCCTAATTATATTGCTGTCGCGACTGTGTGACTGGCACCCGCAGTGTGTGAGCGAGCGCAATAGCAATATAAGCGCGAGCGATAAGGATGGGTAGCTTGGGGTCATTGGACAAAATTCTACGTGCTCACAGACCAGACTATACTTATTAACCTGTCAGCGCCAACTAATAATAAATAATAATAAATCTTTGGACAATTTCACACAGCGCCAGCTAGCTCCAAAGTAAGCAACTTAATGCTTGTGTTATGGGTGCTAGCTTAACGGATATACTACTTATATAATTTTTTTTTAAATACATACATATTATACATAGTAACACCCAGACCCGTCACAGAAATTAAAATTCATCATTTCAATTTCTGCCCGGCCGGGAATCGAACCCGGGACCTCTCGGCATAGTAGTCCGTTCTGAACCACTACACCAAACGGCCGACAGGTATATTATTTTTATAATATGATTTTAATAAATATTAGTTTGCATCTTGACTTTTTTTAGATAGAAAAATATTCAAAATTGAAAAGCTACATTCAATCACATACCTATTGACCTGTCAGCGCCAACTAATAGCTATAGTTAGGGAGGCGAATAGGGGAATTTTCGGCAATACTCGAGCGTGGCAGTTTATGAGAGATACCTTAGACCTAATAGAACAACCTTGTAAAGTATTTAGCTCTATATGTAGTGACGCGCGCCTAGGATAGACGATCAGATTAGTAAAAAAAAATGGATAGTCTGAAATACTCGAGCGCCGTTGAATTACGCCATTTAGCTACCTCGCCTCCCTAACTACTAGTTATCTTTAAAAGCAGGTAGTTCTGTTATGTTGCGCGTGTGCCGGGGCGCTGGCGGCGCCGGGCATCTACGGCGGCGTCGGGTACGCCGCGCCCGCCTACGCCGCGCACGTGGCACCAGCCATCGCTGCGCCGGCCATCGCGCACTACGCCGCCCCAGCCATCGCTGCGCCGGTAAGTCGATGCATCTCATGCTTCTATCAGAGTAAATACAAATGAGTAGGTCATCGCACGCACCGAGCGCGGTTTGTATGTGAGCGCGCGCCAATACGTATGAGGCGCGCACGCACACACTGACAAAATTCGGAGCAACTACCCCGCCAATCAACGCTAAATTTTGTCAGTGTGTGCATGCGCGCCGCATACGTATTGGCGCGCTCACATACAAACCGCGCTCGGGCGTTTCTATGAAGATGACCTACTCATTTGTATTTACTCTGCTTCTATTGTAGATCAGACACTACGCCACACGAGCCATTGGCGCGCCGGGAAAATTATATTCACGTTGTGCTTATCACAGTGATGGCGATCGCCAAAGGCCTCATGGGAGGAATCTTCGTGCTTCTGAAGGGACATAAAATTTTGTATAGCCGCACTTAACTTTGCGTTTTATTAGTACTTTTCCACCAAACCGTAACTCCTCGATTCGACAGAACACAGCGCCTACAGTTTTCAAACACCATGTTCAGCCTAGATTTATTTCTAAACCCTTAAAATTTCTTTTCTCGCTACACCTCATCTATTTCAGGTTATCCGAGCGGAGCCTGTAGACCCTAACCCAGCCTACAGCTTCTCGTACGGCGTGTCGGATCCCCACACCGGCGACCAGAAGGACCAGCAAGAGACGCTGCAGAACGGCGTGGTGCACGGCTCCTACAGCCTGGTGGAGCCCGACGGGCACCTGCGCCGCGTCACCTACACCGCCGACAAGATCAACGGGTTCAACGCTGTGGTGGAGAGGACAGGCGGTGCTCACGCGGTAAGACATCTTGATTACTCTCCGCTAAGGGCTCAATGATATTTGAACGGCGTGGTGCACGGCTCCTACAGCCTGGTGGAGCCCGACGGGCACCTGCGCCGCGTCACGTACACCGCCGACAAGATCAACGGGTTCAACGCTGTGGTGGAGAGGACAGGCGGTGCTCACGCGGTAAGACATCTTGAGTACTCTCTGCTAAAGGCTCAATGATATTTGAACGGCGTGGTGCACGGCTCCTACAGCCTGGTGGAGCCCGACGGGCACCTGCGCCGCGTCACCTACACCGCCGACAAGATCAACAGGTTCAGCGCTGTGGTGGAGAGGACAGGCGGTGCTCACGCGGTAAGCCATCTTGATTAGAGCGCTTTCACATATAGGCGTTGTTGTCGCACGACTGTAGCGCTTCTAAGTCGCGCTGCAGTAGCGCGACTCGTATCCACGTAAGCTGCGCTACATAAATATGTATGGACGTATCCATGTTATTACTGCAACGTGACAAAAACGCCTATAATATGTGAAAGCGCTCTTAACTCTCGGCTAAGAGGCAAGAGCTCTTAAAAAATGAGATTTTATTCCAACGCAGTCGTCATACAATATCCGTGTGTATCGCAAACGAACGATTGACTTCCGACTCAAAACCATCAACTGTAAAGAGCTACTGACTCCGTTTTAGCTCAATAATGTGTTTGTAAAGAACTTTATTAGTCTAAAAATGCAACGCAATTACTGCAAATGAGACAATAGTAAAAGAATAGGGCGTGACCTAAATGCAGTAAACGAGCTGTTAAATACAATTATGGGTGTTGCCGACATGTTGTTAAAATTTTCCATTTTAACAGATTTTTGTTTCCCCCAGGCCCCCGTAGCCGTAGCGCCCGTGGCCAAGGTTATTGCTGCGCCTGCGCCAGTCGCCGTGGCCGCCCCCGTCGCGCGATACACCCTCCCCGTCGCCGCCGCCCACCCCTGGGGCTAAACCCCCCCGCTGACCCACCCCGTTGTATTGTCGACCGAGGTATAGAGCCTGGAAAACCGTCCCGGACCTTGTCAATTCCAGATAAAAATTTGGAATTTTTTAGGGTCCTTATTTTTGATATAGGAACGGTTTAAGCAGTTGATAGTATTATTATGTTGGTAAGAAAAGAACAGCCCTCGTCTTCAATACAGCGCCGCCACTGGACCTCGCACGAACGCACGGAACTACAAATTGATTGTTTATTTATTTCGTACTGCTTTGACTGTTGTCTACGGACTTGATCTTGACGCGTTGTATTACGTATTTAATGTAAATATAATGTATAGTTTTAAAAAATAAATAAAAGCATTTTTTTGCGGTACTTTTTGTTTCCTTTTCAAGTATTACTTGGATAACTTAGGTGCGTTATTTTAAGCTCTATCTAACATGCGAACCTTTATTTATGTGGTAGAACCAATTTAATCTGTTAGCCCCAGCCAATTTGCGAGGTATACATATTCAAGCGCCCAGCCATACATAGTCATGTAAGCGGATATGGAAGGATACTAGTTTCATATCTATACAAGCAGTACATCGTGGATTGAGCAATGTCCGCAGCAAGATTGACGACTGCGTTGACCAACATTTTCCTTTAAACCTTAATCACGAGAATTAAAGTCAACGTTTTTTTCTCGTTCGGAAATAAGCGTGTTCCCATTACCCTAATAAGGCTTTGGCTTAGAATTCAATGAAACATACAATGTTATGATCGAAATAAGTAGTGCAGTCTATGTAACGTACAAAATTCTTCCAATGCTAGATATTTACTATTTTATGTAAAGTTTCTTGAATTGATATTTATTTACCTAGAAAGCAGATTCTCATCATTTAATAATTTTAAAGTTCGTCAACGTAAATTGGTCCTTGCTACCTGCAATTTTGTATTACCTACATACAATAGCTTAATAAGTATTCCGATTGAAGTCGCCGACTTTTTTTGCTTTAAAGTCGTGTTTATCTTCAATCACAGTGCCAAGAAACTATTGAGAACAGAATTTGCAATGGGTACAAATTGGTAAATTGCGATTTTAAATGAACTTACAGGATATTACACCTTATTAACATCATCCTAAATGATTTTATTGAACACAGAAACTGAGTGATACTTTATTGCAGATGCGTGGACATCTATATTGACCCCCTGCGACTTCAATCAACACTAATATGGCCAGAAACACAAAATGTCAAGATGCATTTTTTATTACTGTAAAAAAAACTCATACTGTAGTAACTTAAATAAACATGTTTGGTAAAACCTTTCAGTGTTTTGGCAGTTGTAGGGTTTAAAGGACGAAATAATCATAATAATCATGTCTACAAATCACTTTTTGTATTATCATCCGATAATAAAACAAGCTTTACTTATTTTTGGACTAGATGACGCAGTTTAACATGTTCAAGGAACTTTACTTTGAAACTTGTTATTACTTTGAAATAACTAAAATATCTTCAATTTACTTTTAGACATATTTCTAAGCAGCGAAAAAGGAAAATTGTCTCAGTCATTCATGAATACTTGTATGATTTACGACTTAGGTTGTATTCTGGATTCCACGCTTTCATCATATAAAGTTCTAAAGCTAGCTACAGACTACGAACGAACCTTTGTTTGTTTAGCTTAGCTTAAGTATAATGAGGAAATGTTTCACTTAGGCTGATTTGCACCATCTTACTTTAATTTTAAAAATCTGTAAACTCCATACAATACCGGTTATTGTTATAGTTATGGTTAAAGTTAGTTGGTGCAACTCAGCCTTAAGCTTCGATAAAGTTTTGCTCTCAGTGTGCAACCAGCTTAAGTTTCCTCTGTGGTATGTTTGGAACGCAATCACGATACCGAGTAGCACTCAATACGTAGTGACTCACACATCCATCACCTTCCTGTGTCCATTTGGGTAAACGATTTGTATTGAGAGCTACTTCATCATAGATTTTTTCATTTACATCGAGTTATTGGGAACATACCTAATTTAATTTCTTAGGAAAAAGAAACTCAAATATCTACGCAAACAAGGCATAAAAAGCTATAAAAAGTAACTAATATGTAGAAGAAATGGATAAAGAAACACAATGGTTCTATCGACTATTTATTAGTTGACCACTATAAACTACGAAAATGCAAAATTGGCGTTAGGCCAATTTGCAGCCCTCGGATCATACCGGGATCCGATTCTGTTGCGCCCAGCGCGTGATGGGCCGCAGAATGTGGTCTGCTCGGGGGTGAGCCCGGGGACCTGGAGAAAAAATTATGTAAAGCTATAAAAAACCCAAAATGTAGAGAAAAAGCGTTATCGAGTTTAGCCAAGACACGTGCCTAGCGATTCCTACACCTTTTCACTATCAATCAATATATTAACCCATATATGCCCAAAACTATTTAAATCTCAGATTTTTATGTAATTTGGCATATTTACAGTTTCTTTTATAGGCATCGCAAGATAACTTGTACCATTTGGTCGTTTAGACTGTGAAAAATGTTTCTAATTTTTGCTTGGCCTAAAGGTTGACTGGTAGAGAACATTGGCACTAAGTTTGGCTCTGACTTATCGAGTATGTAATAAAATGTAACTACGTTCCTCTTCTATTCATACGTGACGTGGTAAACCGGAATGGTTTCTGAGGTTGTCACGAAGAAGAAGGAACCTTATTTCTTTATCGTGACATGTGGCCTATTTCGAAGCAGTACCCTTTTCTCTTGGCAGAGACAATAAAGCATCCCCCAGTCACTTATGTTGTCATGGAACCTGTTTGAAGGAGGATTCTTACCTCTGAGCAGCGACAAAGCGTCCCTCACTTCGGCCGCGGCGTGCGGCTTGTTGGCGGCGGCGGCCTGTGCGCATCCACACACTGCCCCGCGAAGACCTTCCCACATTTCTGGCCCTCCATCCAGCCTAGATAGATAGTAAACTCAATATAACATCTTACCATTGAATAACTTCAAGACTAGTGTGAATCTCCAAGGGGTGCATATGACTTAAATGAATCGGGCTGGCCCAGGAAATGCCTATCCTTGTGTCTTGAAGGCCTTAAGCCTAGGTGCAGCAGACCACCGAATTTTAGTTAATCAGTACGGATATGCATGAAAGTACGCACATTACACCGATTTGGTATTGGCCGATTCTGCATACAAATTAGAATCGTGCCCACCTATCGGCCAACTAAAAATCGGCGGTCTGCGCCTAGTCTAATATTTTCTCAGTATCGTTAGTCAAAGCTAAAGAAATTCCACTCCTATTTGTTAAGAATAAAACTCTGACCTGTCCAACATGTGGAAGGCCTTAGCAGCCACCAGGAACTGTCCCATGCGGTAGCTGTCATTGGCCACCAGTTGCAGCAGCGCGAAGTTGTCAGGAGTTCCAGCGGACTGACGCACACAAGAAAATAAATGGTTTAATCCAGACAACAAGCAAGAGAAAGAGCAAAAAGGTAACTCGAGTTCATTTAGAAGAAGCCAGCACCAACATTGAAAAAGGTGTCTCTTTCTCTCTCTACGCTATTAGTACATGAGTCCCTGAAAAATATGAATTATTTTCTTTCTATTGATGATAGTAGAAAATCTTTAAATAGACTTCGGACGCAGGTCGGCCGTAGTAAGGACAATTTGTTCAGGTGGGGATTCTTGGATGGCACAAACTTGGGGTGCAATTGTGGTTTTATTCCCCAGTCGACGAAGCACTTGATGTCGTGCCCTGCGTGCCCAAACAACTGCACGTAGGAAGATTTAATGAAGGCTACTGACAACGCAATTCTTGTGGCGGAGTTTTGGGCTGACGCTGTGTAGGTTTGTTGTCGACGCGACAAGAAGAAATCTTACCTTGACGCATATCTCCCACGCCAGGGCTGCGTCTCGGTTCATGACGTGGCAGCGGCACAAGCAGGCCTGATACGTGAACGTGCTTCGTATGCCATCATCCTGGATGCCGAGGAGACACTCCTCAGCTTCGCGGTAGAACCCTGTTGCCACTTTGGCCTAGGAATAAAATGAGATGACAGAGAAAGTTAAATAGAAAACCAAAATACTAGATATGAAAGTCAGGAGCATTCTGGTATTTAGCAAAACCCTAAATTTTTTTATTGGTCCTATATCTGAGAACTCATCAATTTACTGCTCTACTTTTTGCGATCAAATCGCATAGCATTCCACCAATACAAACCCAAGAGTTTCCTGCTGCATCAGCATGACATAGTACCAGTTAGTTATGACATCTTAAGTTTGTCAATAGAGAAAGACTAAAAAAACTTTGAAATGTATTTAGCGTGGCGATCGAAGTGTCCAACTGCACATTTATTAGTTTCACGAGAATATAGGGTAAAAATATAGGAGGAGGCCTTTGTCCAGCAGTGGACGTCATTTGGCTGAAACGAACGATAGGGTAAAAAATATCACAATATCACAAATGTCCTTGAATCTTTGAAACCTGATGCTACACACAAAATACTGTACAACTAGAACTGGAAACAAGAGAGTACTTACTTGCGCGTAGTTGAAGGTGAAAGTGTCATCGCTGACGAAGAAGCTCTTGATGGAGTTGAGGTAGACCAGCACCTCCTCGAACTGCGCCGCTAGGAAGTACGAGGACGCCATACACTGCCGGCCGGGGATCGTGTCGCACTCCGATGCTGAACTGCCTACGAGGTGGAAGCTTTGCTGCGCTAGCTTCATCTGTTCCTCCTTGGGGGAATAACCTTTTATTGATTACCTTTACCAACATTAAAGTCTACTTGACAGTTATTATCTGTTTATAAACGAGAGATACCTAATAAATACAAAATCCTCATAACACGCAGCAGGACCGTTCATTATGGAAAACCTTGGGGGAGGCCTTTGTCCAGCAGTGGACGTCATTTGGCTGAAACGAACTCATAATAAGTACTTAAGTAGTTTACGTAACTTATAATTGTATTTCGATTAAAGAAATACAAGCGAGTAGAGTTAGTAACAGATACTAGTTGGAGAAAATTAGAATGGAGTGCAAATAAATGAATGAAGAGAAGTGAGTCGGCGAATATGACGGACGATTTGCATCTTCTAGCATAATAATCATAATCCGTCAGTCAGTGTGGCAAGGCCCTTAACCCAATCAAAACTGAATGTTCAAAAATCTGGAGTGGGTTTGCCATTTCAGGTATTTCAACTGGTTTTCAGATATATTTAAGGGATAATCATGCTAAGATAAAATAATAGCAAATTTTCACTTACGTCACCAGTCTCATTGTAGAGTCGAACAGCCACAACCGCCCTCAAGATGTAATGCAGAGGCGAGGTGGCTTGCAGTGGCTCCAGCAGAGCCCTGGCTTCCAACGGCTCTCTGTTCCGCAGCCGGTAGCCGGCCAGGTTGAGGCGAGCTTCGGGCACTACGTCTACCAATTCTGGTAGAACCTGAGAAAAAAAATATTATGTATTTGATTTCAACGACTACGATGATATTTTAAAACAAACATTAGCCAGATCAGTTCAGCCATTCTCACATTATACCTAACACCTTTAGTACGATACCTTTAATGCTCCCTCGCCGTTTCTGAACACCACAAGATTATGTTTCACCAGATCTTGGCCAAACGTGTGCTGATCGGATGATATCTGCTTTAGCTCAGATTCTGCGGCCTTGCCGTTGTATAATCTGTCAATAAATATGTTTTTGAGGACCGATTGAAAGCTCATGGGACTGCAATACTTAAACTCATCGACTCAACTTATCCAAATGAACAAAGTCATTCTACCTCTAATGATTAGTGAAAGTACGTAGTATAAATCCTCCATTAATTTAGGTCTGATAAATTAAAGAGGGTCTTTCTCATGCAGTGGAGCTGGAGCATGAATGATCTGATTATGAAATTCTGGTGTTGTGACTCTGTTACATGACGAATCCCTTCACAATAACATAGTTACCTGAACAAATTGCAAGCTTTCAAGTTGCCGGCCACGGTGGAAGTGGGGTGGTGCGCCAGGTATACCCCCAGCACCTCTTGCGACACGTCGTAGTAGTCCAGTTTGTAGTAGCACAGAGCCACGTACACGTTCAGTGCCATGTAGTTCCTGACAACATACTCGTACATTATTGTCAAATCATTCGTTTTTTTTACATGTAACTTATTTCTATAGTGGTTATTTATTTTCACGTTTCTGTCGATTATATTGATGGGCTACTTATTAATCAAACTACCTACATGTTTCTAAATAATTAACCAAATAAAACTAAGCTCTATCATAATTTATCAACTTGTTGATTTACTTAATAAAATTAAAGGTACCCAGCAGAATGATTCAACACTTTAATCCAATCCATATCGTCTCTTTCATAGCGCTTATATCTGGAATAACAAGATAAACGTAACTGTACAATTTTAAAAGTCTATGTATGAAGGCTTTTTATTTTACAGCTGGATCACCATTTTCAGCGTTATAAACAAATTGGCGCCCAACGTGGGACACAATAATTGTTTCGATAAAAAGCTTCCAATATTTTGAGAAAGTGACTATGTTTTGAAGAAATATTTAACTGTAAATCGTACTCAAAAATACATTACTCGTATTCTGACAATCATGAAACTTAAAGGACAAAATTAGCCGGCCGTTATGAAAAATTTTCCTAAATGAGTCATACCGCCTATCCAGCAGTAGTTTCTTGTAAACATCAATGGCTTCTTGATAGTGGGCCCGCAGGTAGTGCACAGAGGCCAGGCACAGTTGGTCTTCGGGCACGTCGCGGAGCGCCGCGTGGGCCTTCATAAGCGCCTCCTCGTCGCCAAGCTTGTGTGCCAAGTGGAACGTCAGACGCGTCTGGAGAAAGAAATTGTATGCTCCTACAAATCCACACAATATCCCTCAAATATTCCGAAAAAGAACGACACTTACTTTGAGCGCGCATTTAGGTGCTTCTTCAGCCGCTTCTTGTGACTCCTTGTACATACCTGTAAAATTTATAATGTAGGTACTTTTGCGACAGTAAGAATCAGACACAACAGTATTTTCTTTTTAAGTTATTAAAAACAAAATGTTAATCTGAGGTATCCCTCAGCATAGCATTAAACTCTGCCATTTGACCAGACTAGTCTTGAGTCTAACCAGACTTCGTCCAGGGTAGGTACATACACTCGTATTCGTATCTTAAGTTGAATCAAACCTAAACTAGAACTAGTAGTCAATGACGTGGTCTGCCACACCTGTACTCGCTAGATTGAGCTAGCTAGCAGCATGCCATTCACACAGTATTGCCTCATGTTTTTGTTATCAAACCTAAGTAGAAGTAGCAGACGGCGACGTCCAAGGCGATGTGATCAGCCACACGCGGATCTAGCTTTTCCCGACTGCGCACACGTAAGTAGGCGTCAAGTGCTCGTCTGTATTCGCCCAGGTGGAACCAGCACCACGCCGCCCACGCGTCCGCCCAAACCTCTGTGTTGCCTTCGTGTTGGAGGAACTAAAGAAATCGGACATATTATACAGTATCTAATTCCAAATTAAAAAATACTGGTAACAACATTAAAGGTAACGCATATTATGATACAAAGAAAACGTTGATCAAAACTGTGTTTTGCAAGATCTTGATCAAGAAATAGATAAAGAGTTGAGTCGTGGGGTGAAAAAAGCCTATGCTGAACAAAACAGAATACCTATTCAATAAACGCACATTTTTGAACAGGCATCGAACCTGTAACTTCTGGTGAAGTAGCCGAGTGGAGCCGAAAAGTCAAGTTTTACGGTACAATGAAGTTGGTTTTTTTTATTCCTGAGTCCCTGTTACTTTCACCGCTTCTAAACTATCAGGTTAGGTATTGTAGGGCCGCACACACAGGCTTACCTCGAGCATAGTGAGTGCTCCGACATAATCTCTCTTGTGCACGAAGTCCTCGAGCTCGGGGAAGCTCTTCTTGGCCGAGCTGCTGCCCGTATTGCCGCGACTGTCGGCTGCTGGCTTCGAGCGCGACAGGATCTGTTACATTTTATTAGTGCTTCAACAGAGAACTCTTGAACTTAGTTATTTTACTTTACGTTTATTATTTTCAAAGATTGTTGACAAGTGGCCCATCAACCAAACATTGCTAGTATTGTATAAATAATGCATATAGCATGCGACATGCAAAGATCCTAGGTATAAGGGTATTTCTCATCGCCACGGTTCTCATCGTCACCTTCGTGGCGAATTTTATTTCTAACTTATTTCAGCTTTTTGTAAACAAAAATTGTAGCGTTTGATGTGAAGATTGTATTCTCAGTAAATCAGTCAAATAGTGAGTCTCGTTTGGAAGATTTAACGTTTTGAATTTTTTGATGCCACGAAAGTGATTCTTTACTTCACAGCAATATTTTTTTCAAACTTTACTACTTTAAATGACTCTTAAGTGTTTATTAAACATATGTTTTGTCTTATTTTCATAGATAAATAGCATTAACATAATATAAATAGGTACCTACTTAAATATTGCCAAATGTTGGTCTCGAAGCGCTGGTAGGGTAAAAAGATTATGAGACATGTAGAGGCTCCTTAAGAGCAAAATAACGATTTGTAAGAACTATTTATTAGTCCAAACAAATAAAGAAATTTTGACTTTGACTTTGACTTTGACTTTGAATACAAGATAAAATTTTACCGATTAGGTCACCTACTAAGTTACAAGATTCTACGCAATTGGTTTTAAGGGTGACACTGTTGGCATTCTGAAATGCTAAAGAAGCAAAAAACGGATTATCAGTACCTCAATAAAAAAGAACTATAACTGATTATCAGTCCCTCAACAAAAATATATTTTTTATTTAGGCCCCCTGTCTCGTATTTTTGTTGTACAACTTTTAACTCAAACTTCAGATTAAATTTATCTTACAAACAGATACACAGTCACATATACAGACATACATACAGTCATACAGACAGACAACAAAAATACGAGGCCCTTATTTATTTATTGATATACTGATCTGATTCTCTACTTTACCACGTACCTATAATTTATTAGTTATTAAAATATTGTAAAAACATAAACATCAGTCACTATATTTTAAAATAAACCAAAGCAAGAAATCACTTTCGTGGCCTAAAGTCACCTTCGTGTATAAAACACCACGAAGGTGATGCCACGAAGGTGACGAAAATTTTAGTTTTTTATGAATTATCCTTAAATTTGAATTTAACGGTTCAAGTTGAATACTACACAAATAAGTCTAACATGTTAAGTTTTCAATGGCAAAGTTTCAATTAAATTGTTTAAATTTTAGAGGTAGAAAATATTGTTCAAGCAAGCGACGGTATGTCTATGGACAATCACAAAAAGCTACGTATTTTTTTTGCGGAGCGACGATCGACCGATCTCACCTCCCTAATGGTCGAAGCGTGACTGACGTTAACCGAATAGAACACTGTGATTGGTTCATGGTGTTCGGTTTAACGGCAATCTTGTATTATTACTCAAAATTTTAGGTACCTAAAATCGTGTGACCAACGTATTTTGCTTTCTCAATTCAAAATAATTATAAGAAGATATTTTTTTGACTATTGTGTGGAAAGTATATTTAATTACGATGATTTTAGTATATGCTACACACAAATTGAATGAAAATTGTGAGTGCAGTAACCAAATGTTTCATTGCAACCGAAGGTGTGACACGATGAGAACGCGAAAAATGACCCCGTTTTTTATCGTTTCATGTGATTTTTTCGTATTATTTTTGCTTCTATTACGATAAAATTTATTTTGTATGTAGCTAAATAGATATTTTATCATCTGATTTCAAAGGTATTGTTTTAACTTCTACCGTTTATAAACTATTATTGTGTGACCATCAAATTTGAGTGTAAATGAGAAGTACCCATAAGGATTTTGAAAATTTAGTAAGATGTACGATCTTGGACCTTGGAATGGAAGTTGGTATTCGTACTTACATTTCGTACCAGCTGCATAATACACTTACTGATGACGATAAGCAAATATTTCACATTGTACTTACCATTATTATTTTATTTTATAAACAAACACTTCACAATCACAACACAGGTTTGGCGCGTTTGTTGACATTAAACGGTTGCCATGGCAACAGAGGGCGGGAAACCTGAAAAAGTTTGATCGAAACTAAAAAGTATTTAATCAATTTATCTGTTTACATGACAATCTCACTTGACGCTAATTAAAAAGATAAACCGTTGCCTAGCAACAAACAAAGCTGAGTTTTGAAAGGACGCGCAATTTTGTAGATGTTTACGTGATTTCTTTGTTACAAAAGTTGTGAACAATGTCAGAGTCAACCAGGTCTGGTGGGTCGTACCAGCAGTGCCCGTGCACAGATGACAGCTCCAGCTCCTCACCGCTGCTGTCGCCAAGCTGCGTGTGTCCCAGAGATGAGCACGAGATCGTAGTACACGAGGAGACCTGTCTGCTCTTCAAGAATGAGAAGATTATATTTCCGCATGTAAGTTTTAACAGTCGGTAGAGATAAAAATAACCATTCTCAACCTAAAAAACAGTCTGGGCATCTGAATAAATTGTTCCAAGTTTCAGACGAAATCTGGTCTGCGACAATAGCCTTTAAAGGTGCAATAAATAAATAAATAAATTTCAATATAATTTTAGCTTCATAATTAATAACTTTTGTTGTAGGAGGCCCACGTTTGCGAATGCAATGACGAGCCTCAGTTCGAAGACGGCATCTGCAAGTGCTGTGCGTGCCCGGTGGACCAGTGCCGGTGCAAGAAGGCTGGCTGGGAGGTGTTTGATGAGTATGTAGTTGAGTTATCAGAGTTTAACTTTATACCATGGCGCTAGACTTAAAATTTTGATCACGGTAGCACAGTAAGTACATGCGGGTACACTCACCTCTAATAAACTTAATTTATTATTATTTTCTTGTCCTTTTTTTCTCCATTCTTTTACAAATAAAAGTCTGGGTAGATAACCTATCACATGGACCTCAGTCAAAGTATTAAGGCAACATCATGATGATAACGCTATCGTTTTTAAACGATATGATGATCTGCGTCAATTGAACTTGAATTACAGTTAACTAGATAGAGAGATAAAAGCTTTAAAAACTACATTACGTGAGTGTGCAACCCGACGTGCATGCCTTTAAATAGTAAAAGTTGCAGTGTTTAACTGAAATTGAATTTGAATTCTTCCAAAGATGGCGCAGCAAGCGCGACATAGGCGCCATGCCGGCGGTACTGGAGTCCACGCACCCGCTCATGCAGCGCTTCCAGATGACCCTCAAGCACTTCCTCGAGAAAGAGAACCAGATCGCCGAGGAGGAGATACTGAATCTGGTAAACGTTTATCATATTCAAAGAGTACATTCGGAACTAGGAAGGCATCGGTTGGTTAAGATTAAGACCGTTTAAAATAAAATCTCATTGCAGAAAGAAGAACTCCGTCTCAGTAAACTGGGCTATGATAGAGATCTGGAAGCCATATACCGCAGCGATCACGACACTAATGCACAAAGGGTGAGATTGTCATAAAAACTTATTACTAAAATTTTATCATGTATTTTTTTTATAAAAAGACCTATCCATCGGGTTATGTATTTTAGAGTACAAATTAGTTTCGTTGTTATTTTAGGCGTTGATAGGCGAATATGAAGCCACTCTGACCCAAAAGACGAAGGACAGGCAGGCCGCGGAAGAGAGAGCGCGCGAGGCTAACGAGAAATACAAGCGCGCCAAAGAAAAGCTGGAGCAGGACATTGTTACAGGTATGCAGTAACAACTATTCTACCCACGCACAATAGTCAATAGTCATATTATTAACACTTACCGCCTCAGTAACCACGATCTCCTTTTCTGCTTACATAAATATGTATAGCTTGTGGTCCACCCTCCTTCTTATTAAAAGTTTAAAAAATGTCCTTGACATTCAAAATTCCATTCGAGAAAGACAATATGATAGGACTTTGGACGCCTTAGGACTTTGGCTGAAAAACTAGCTTAGCAGGGCAGATATCTAAGATATTTCTCATTTCCACTCACCAGAAAGCGAAGCCACCGAAGAGCTGGAAGCTCTTACAACCCTGTGCCGGCAGTTGGAGGAGTGGCGTGAAGAAACGGAGTCGGACCTCACCGTCAGCCAGCGCATGTCCGACAAAATGCGAGCTGAGAAGCGTGCGTTAGCTGACGAGAAGAGGCAACTGGTAAGGATAGTATAGACGGGGCATCATCGGACCAGGTTAGTTCACAACTGGTAATCCAGTGGCATAGACATTAGATGCTCATTTCTCATGATCAGCCCAAGGTGATCCACACTTAGGCAGTCCAATGAGTTTGGACATAAGTAGACGCTAAGAAATAGGTAAACATGAAATTCTTTAATGATGACGTCTTTTTTCCAGGATATGATCATTTACGGTCTGAGCAATGAAGTATGGAAGTTGGAGTCGAAGCTGGAAATGTTCCAGAAGCAGCTGGAAATAAAAAACGTCGAGATGGAGAAAGTGAATGATAAGGTAGAGCTAGTTCCACAATCGTCAAAAACTTCCAATCATTTCCTTTCATTGTTATGATAATTTTTAGGTGACAGCATACGCTGCGGAGCTGGAAGACTTGGAACTGGATAAGAAAAGGCTGGTGAGCCTCTGGAACTCTGTGTTGGTGAATATACAACAGCGGGACAAAGTATACGATTCTGTAAGAGATGATTACAAGTAAGTTGTACAAAATTGATCGGATTAGTTAGTAGCTCAATTTTGGTGTAAGATTGTATACCTACATCTAGAATTCTAGCTAATTTTAATCTGAGGTAAATACTCTTGCGACTTACGGTACTGTAATGTCCCGTAGAATACTACAAGAGAACTACCGTACTTTGCTGAACAACCTGGAGATCACGAAGAAGGTGGTGATGGAGGAGATGAACCGCGGCAAGGAGCTCGCCATGAACAAGGACAAACTCATCTATGACATCGAACACGCCACCAAGCTGTGTAAGTATATGACCCATCTTATCATTAAATACCAACCAAGAGACCAATGGGTTTCTGCACACATGATTGTGTGCTGCCATATACATAATGTTGTGCAACTGGTCGATCGAACAGGATGGAATCAGATATAAAATATGTACTATAAATTAACTAAGCTTTATTTTGCGAAACCTACAGATGACACAGAAGATACAAAAAGAACGACTCTAGAAACTCAGATCGGTGAACTAGCCGAATCCATTGAAATGACTGAAAGAGACCAAGAAATGATCAAATCGGTAAGTTTCATTATTTCACAGCCCTTTGAATAAGATACTGACAATTTTACTAAACTATTGATAAAAATTACAGGAGAACCAAACAATGCTCAATATACTGAAGAGCACGGACAAAGAGGTCGATCGTAAGACAGAGTACAGACTTAAATTGGAGAATGAGATCCTTACGAATCTCCAGGAGTGTCTGCTAAATGACAAGGCCGTGGAGTCTATGGCCAACGGGATCAAGAAGATGAGGGAAATGTCTAGGAAACAGGTATGATTTTTCAGGATCCGCATAACAACTAATCTCACATACTGACTTCATAACCTGCTGCTAATTCAATGAGGGCTATCGTTTTTATACTTAACAGTTGGCACCCCTGGCGATTGACAGGACCTTACTCTACAGTGGCGCCATCTTGATGAGTGCAAATGCGATAGTCCTCCTACCACTTTCGCGCTCACCAGTTGGTGCCACTGTCTTCGCTACTAGCAAGTGACAGGACCTTACTCTACAGTGGCGCTAACTGGTGAGCGCTAAAACGATAGCCCTCAATTATTATCAATATGCTTGATAGAAACTTGATAGAAACCTTGATCCAGTATCGTCCAATATTTATTTGGTTTTTATCGATTTTATCAGGAAATATCCCTAATGGCTATGGAGAACCAACACGCCAAAGTGATGTTGGACATAGAAGTCCACCGCAGCAAGCAGGCGCGCAACAACCTTATTCTCGAGGAGAACCTGGCCAAGGTCCGCCAGAGGGAAAAGGAAATCGACCAGCTGCAGGAGAAGTACGACCAGAAGGCGCTGCTGGTGACCAGGAAGCAGAGGGAGTTGGATATCATCATCAAGAAGTTCAACGCTCTCAAGGAGATTTTCGATGTAACGGCCATTCTCAGATGAGCTAGTTTTTGCGTGTCCGGGCTGTTAAATCGTTAAAAATGACAAATTAGAGACATGCAAGTATTTTTACATGTTACTTAACAACCCTATCCAGTTGTGCATTAAATCATAGGCCTCTATTTGAAGTATTTGTGACCTAATTAATTTCATGAACCTCTGTTCTCTAATTACCGTGACGCGTCCGCACACCGACTTAATGTTAAAAGTTGGCTGTAATTTTTATGTCGTATAGATTTGGTTTACTCCATTCAACATTTTAAAGAGTACAAAAGATTGTCTTACGCATAGCAAAATATCTGTTCAATAGAACCATGCTGTAAATAATTAGAATTAAAAAACTGCTTGTCCGAGCGAAAGTCCTAATTCCCGTGACGTTTTCTGTTTTTGGGCACACAAGCCTAAATAATAATATTTGACACACCATTTACGCGCGCGGCGCGAGCCCTTAGTTAGTTCTAAGACCTGTTAACAAGTAGACGTCTATTGCGTTGGCGTATCGTCGTTGAATTGCGTAAGAGTATAATTACCATATCTTTGGTTTTCAATTTTTCTATTTACCATGTCTTTAATTTTATACTCGATTTTTTAAGATAGATCCACGTTGTTAATTTCAATAGATTCAGCACTTTGGCCTTCATACGTTGTAGTAAGACACTATTTGCATACGCTGAAGATTTTGGAAATTTTGAAGAAAAACTGTCGTTTTATAATTGCCATGTACTAATTACCATATATTTCTAATCACCGTTGTATGAAATTATTACCTACAAATTGCACTCACGATTGAATAAGTATGATGATAAAATATGAAATATACCTAGACTTTCGCATAACAACTTTACACGGACTTTTCTTCCAATCTGACATCAAAAATTTGAAAATCTTTCGTTAGAGTAACCTCGAAAT